GCTCTGCTGAGTGGATTTGAGGGTTCTCAAAAGGCAGAAACATCTTATTTGCATCACGCAGAACGAGTAATTTATCAAGGAGATGAACTATTATGTGACAGAATTCCGAAACAAAGGCGAGCGGCGTCCTGGCTGCTCCTCCATCGCCGTTCCTACAGGATAATGTTACACCCAACTCTTGGATATCGGGCACCATCTAGAGGAATGGCTGGAATGATGCAGCAGGGAAATGAAACACTAAATTATTAAAACGTGCAAAAAAACCCTAGAGCATGTCTTGTATAATATCTATCAGCTATTTATTTATTATTTACAGCTCTTACTGAGGGAGAAAACCCCCAGGAAGAAGCAGGAATTCGGATATTTGTCCTGCAAAACAGGATGTGGGTTTGCACACAGCAGCCCTGCACTCCAGCAACTGTAATTAGTGCTAATTAATTTGCACCTCATATATTTATTAGAATAAATAACTATGATATCAAAATCTGATTTTGTTGTATTTAGAGATCTTAAAGCAATGACTTTTCAATTTGCTCCCAGTTGTGCAGCTCAAGGCACCAACCTCTAAATTCCTTCTAAACACCTCCTGGTTTTTTTTATCAGCAAAATAAAACTTTGGATTTAATTTAATTACTATCCTTGTTTACCATTTAGCTCCACATGGGCAGGATAGAAGTCCTTGTGGGTCCCTTCCAACTCAGGATATTCTATAAAAAAAGCTGAAAATGTTTAATTTGTTCCAGTGTTTAAATCCAGCTGGATTCAGCCATATGCATCCCCAGCTACATTTATTGGAAAGGTACAATCCAAGTACAATCCACCACACCTGCACAATTCCACTCTAAACTTTGTTGGTTTGGGTTTTTTTATTATTTGTAAATGTACATTTCTGGCTGTGACAAACCACAATCGTGTTAAAGCAGAGGTCAGGATTTGATTCATCAGGACACTAAATCATAAATAAAATACGAGAGAGACACCTTTACCTGGTGTTCCAAGCTGACTGTGGGGAAGATGATTTAATTTCATAATCAAATTAAACAGAGGATTGTGTTTCCTCTCAACTACAACCCAGACTAAATCTTCCTACAACACCAAACGGAGTGAAGTGATGGGTATTTGAGTGTTACTTCCTAAAATCCCTTAAAACCTTCAATTTCTATTTATTTAAAGAACAGTATGGAAGGAAACTGTTCCAATCCTTAAAGCATCTCCGCTCCTGAATCTTTCTCTGGCTCATTAGTCCGTTCTCCCTCCTCTCTGCCGAGGCTGCCGTTGGCATTTACATAACAGAGCTCTGCTCCGAGGAAAGATGAATCAGCACATCCATGAAATCCTGCCTTCACTCCCAGATTTACTATCATCCCCAGCATGCTGCTGCTCGGAGGCAGAGGATCCGGAAAGAGATGAGTCACGGAGATGCAAGATCCGCGTGTGCCGGGGAAATGGAGCTCCCGGGGAATGACAGGATGGGCATTACTCAGCAGACAGGACTCCTGCAGGGGAAAACCCGGGACAGGTGGGAAGACGTATCGACCACAGAGCTTGTAGCACGCGTAGGGAGTAATAAAGCAGCTGGGAGAATGGCAAGGGGAGGAAGCTGAGCTGCCAGGGAGCTGGGAATGTTGGGGAGAGGCTCGGGAGCGACTGCCGAGCAGCACAGCCCAGCAGAGCACAGCCCAGCACAGCCACGGCCGTGCCAGCAGGGCCGGGGGATGATCCACAAGGGCTGTTTGGGAACCAGGGCTACTGGTTGTGCCTGCCCCCAGTGCAGGTACCTGCACCCCTGTGCTCTGCAGCACACACAGGGCACACCTGGGGCATTCCTAACACTCTCCTCTCCTCCCGATCCACGAATCCACCCGAGCCGCGACGAGGAGCAACGCGGAGCATGGCTGTGGATCTATAGGCATTAAGCAAAGAGCATGTGGCCGGGCTTGCAGCTGGAATGCTGTGGGAAGGACACAAGCAAAGCGTGAATGAGCTTATGCTGGGAGCATTTGCTATCCCAGGCTTTTGAGAGCTCGTTTTAGTTACTGCTTAAAATCCCCATCGGCCCCTGATGGGCCCTAATGGAACAGTCCTGCCTGGTGGTGCTGCAGCTTCACCTGTGCCACCCCCACGCTCACAGAAAAGCAAATCATGAGTGGAGAGACTCAGTAAGACATCAAAAGGTGCCAAGGAAAAATGCCACATTCCTACAGAAATACAGAATCGTGCAATCCCAGAATGGTTTGGGTTGGAAGGCACCTTCAGGCTCATCCAGTCCCACCCCCTGCCATGGGCAGGGACACCTTCCACTAACCCAGGTTGCTCCAAGCCCCGGCCAACCTGGCCTTGGACATTTCCAGGGATTCAGGGGCAGCCACAGCTTCTCTGGGCAACCTGTGCCAGGGCCTCCCCACCCTCACAGGGGAGAATTCCTTCCCAATATCCCATTTAACCCTGCCCTCTGGCAGTTTAAAGCCGTTCCCCCTCGTCTGTCACTCCATGACATTGTAAATATTCCCCTCCACCTTTCCTGTAGCCTCCCTTCAGATATTGGAAGGCCACAATTAGGTCTCCCTGGAGCCTTCCCTTTCCCAGGCTGAACAATCCCAAATCTCCCAGCCTTTCCTCATAGCAGAGGTGTTCCAGCCTCCAGTCATCTTGGTGCCTCCTCTGGACACCTTGTCCTTCCCGTGCTGGAAGACAAGGACCCCATGGCTGGAGGCAGCACTGCAGGTGGGATCCTACCTGAGCAGGGAATATTAGGGAATGTTAGCACCGGAATGCACCAGGAGGCGGGCGCTGTGCAGTGTTTGTGGGGCCTTTTTATCCCCTGACGTGGAATTTTATTCAGCTCAGGAAGATGGATTTGTACCTCTAGGGCACATTATAAAACATCATCCCTGTTTTTTCCTGTGCCTTTCCATCATGCATCAAAAGATGAGCTTGCAGTTCTGGGCTCTGAAGGCAGGTGGGGGAAGCATGACCTCTCCAAGGGGGGATCGGTGTGTGCTTTTCCTGGCTGGGATTTATTCTGGGAGCTGCACTGTCTCTCTCCCAGGAAGCTCCGTGCTCCAGCCCCAGAGGCTCTGGGGTCCTGCTGGAAAGCTGGGAGAGCTCTTACTATTGGGAAGCCACTGGAACTTGCAGTTGGTGAGGTGGCACCTCGTGTCTGCTACTGATGAGCTGAGCAATGAACATGCCCTGAAGAAACTCCAAGAGTAATGTTTTGGAGCCTGCAAGAGAGGTGGAGAGAGTTTCTACAAGGGTCTGAAGTGGCTTTAAGCTGAAGGAGGGTACATTTAGATGGGATATTGGGAAAGAATCTTTCCCTGTGAGGGTGGGGAGGCTCTGGCACAGGTTGCCCAGAGAAGCTGGTTGCCCCTGAATCCCTGGAAGTGTCCAAGGCCAGGCTGGATGGGGCTTGGAACACCCTGGGCTAGTGGAAGTTGTCCCTGCCCGTGGGAGAGGGTGAGACTTTAAGGTGCCTTCCATCCCAAACCATTCCATAATTTTATGAACTGTCACTGGCAGCTCAAGAACTTTGGAGGATGAGGAAGAAGTGGGCTCTACACACCACGCAGTCATTCCAAGCTCCTGGCACAAAACAATTTCCCCTGTGGATGAGGAACAGGGGAGTGGAGGTGAATTATGTGGAGCAGCTCAATGTCAAAACCCCAAATCCTTCTCGAGAGACTGGCTGAGTGCCTGGAAGCATCCCAAGGAGCTGCCAGCAGGAAGGACTGCACAGCAGGGAACTCTGAGACAGCACTTCACAGCAGGCCCAGTCCTGAGCAGCTGCTTTAAATATAAGCTCAAACTGGATTTATTCCTAATGTTTCCACAGCATCGATCCGCAGTGATTCAGCTCCTGGTATTCCAGGCATGAGGGTGATTGTCATTTGTTATTCCCTGTGGTGCAGTGGTTGTTAGATTGCCAAGGCTCTGGAGTCCCAACATCAAATGTCAGGTACTCGAGGTGACAAAACACAACTTTGCAGTGAGGAATGCTGTCAATTCACTTCATGCTTTAGCAACTTATTGCTGAAGTGACACCGAATTCTCGAGCTCTGACAAGATACTTCCCATGGAAAAATATTTATTTCCATTAAAACTCTACATTGATACTGAACCTTTTTTCCTTGGGGAGTACAGGTGCTGTATCCATCATATTTTTATTTCCTTGTCACTGGGAGCAAACACTTTTAATCTGGCTCCTAAAGCCACCCAAACATGAGACCTTTCCTTACATCCAGGCCTTGTTTCCCGGGAGCCAGTGAGGGCTGTCAGCTCCCCCCGTGCGGTGTGTCCCCTCCACAGCACACCCACGGGCTCCGAGCCCCTACCCATGACAGGACGTTATCAGATTCCTGAGTCCCTGCGTTCTCATTTAAATAAAACTGATGGGTTTTGGGTCCGCGGTGGGGCTCCATTTCCCAGGCGCTGGTGGGCAGGAGGAGATCGCACCGAGGCCGCGGGTGTCTGAGGTCGGGAGCAGCAGGGCCGGGAGGGCCGGCGGTGAGCGCCGAAGGCTTGAACCGTGAGGGCTGGAAGGGCTGGAGCCCAAGGGCCGGGCCGGGGAGCTCCGAGTCCGGCAGGGCCATGGCCGGGAGCGCTGAGGCCCTGAAGGCCGCGAGGGCCGAGCCCGCGAGCGCTCCCCCCATAACGGCGGCCGTGCCCCCCTCAGGCGCAGCCCCGCTCAGCGCTGCCCCCGGGCCGGCGCTCAGAGCCCCCCGGCCCAGCCCCGCAGGAGCGGGCCCTTCCCCTCCTTCCCTTTCTCCTTCTTCTTCCTCCTCCTCGCCCCGGTCCCTGCGGGGCCGGAAGCGCCGCCCGCCCCGAGCCGGCGCCGCCCTTCCTGCCCGCCCGTCCCGCCCGGCGCGGCCGCGCGCGCCCCCCGTCGGCGGGCGGGGGCGGTGCGGGCGGTGCCGGCGGCGCTCGGTGCGCGGAGGGAGCCGCGATGAGCCCGGGCGGGACCCGCGCCCGCACCCGCACCGGGACCCGCGCCCCGCGCCCGCCCCGCCGCGCCGGCATGCGGCCGCGCCCGCTCTAGGAGCGCCGTGCCCCCGGGCCGCCATCCGCCGCCTCCCCTCCCCCCTCCCGAGGAGGATGGCGGCGGCGGCCGCCCCGACCCAGCTGGAAGCCGGTGGGTATCGCTGGCGGCGGGGGCTGCGCTCCGCGTCCCCCACCACCACCACCAGCACCTCCGCCACCCCCCGCTCTTACTGTGTCTAACGCCCTCTCCCCCGCCCCTCCGCAGAGCTCTACTACCTGATCGCGCGGTTCCTGCAGTCCGGACCCTGCAAGAAATCCGCCCAGGTGAGCGGAGCCGGCCGGGCCGGGCGGGCGGCCACGGGACGGGACGGGGCGGCGGAGCCGCTGCGCTGCGGGCGCCCGGCTCACGTCCTTTGTGTGTGTGTGTCTGTGTGTCCGTCTGTCCCCAGGTGCTGGTGGAGGAGCTGGAGGAGCACCAGGTGAGGCGCCTGCCCCGGCGGGACGGGGGAAGCCCTCGGGACGGGGGGGGTCGGGGTTGCCCTGCCCCGTCTAACCCAGCCCATCTCCGCCCGGGACACCCGGCAAGGAGCGCGGGGGCTCCGCGGCGGGGCCGGGGCAGGGCCGGGGGGCTCCTGCCCGGGGGGGCTCCTCCCGGGGGCGGACGGGCCCCGGCGGGGCTCCCGGGAGGGGTCGCTGGGGTCTGACGGCCGCCCCTGGCCCCGTGTCCCTCCCGCAGCTGATCCCGCGGCGCCTGGACTGGCAGGGCAAGGAGCACCGCCGGAGCTTCGAGGACCTGGTGAGACAACTTTCGCTCCCGACTTTCTCGGCAACTTCCCATCCACCCCCCCTCGTCGCGCCGCCGCCGCCGCACCGGGCGCCGCGTCCCCCCCTCCCCGTGTATGTGTGTGTGTGTGTGCGCGTGTGTGCGTGCGTGTCCCCCACGGCGCTGCGGGCTGCGCCCCGCCGAGGCCGCGACGGGCCGGGAGCGCGGAGGGGATCGCGTGGGAGGCAGCGTGGGCTCCGCGGGGCCGGGGGGACCCGGTGAGACCCCAGTCCGCCCGCAGCGCCCCCGGCCCGGCTCCATTGTGGGGCCGGGGGTTATCCGAGGGCACGCTCCGGGGCCCGCCGCGACCAATGGCGCCGCGCCTTACATCGCGCGGAGCGCTGCGCCGCGATGTGAGGCGGCGGCTGATTGGCTGCGGCGGCGCCGCGGCGGGGCGGGGGGCGCGGGTCCCCCCGGAGCCCCCGGGGCCGGGGCCGAGCCGGGCCCTTGGGGCTGCCCGCACCGCGCTGGGCTCCGCCCGGGCCCCGCAGCCCCGCGGGGGGACGTGCCGGACGTGCCGCCGGGCTGGGTCAGGCACTCCCGGCCTGCGGCGGCCTGCGCGAAAGCCGCCCCTCAGCGCGGCGGTCGGGCCTGCTGTGAAGCGCGGAAGGGGCGGGGGGGTGGTCGGGGACGGGGGTGTTGTGGCTCGTAAATGCCGGTGAAATAAACGGAGCGGCGGGTTTTGCTGAGATATAAACGTATGGATGTGTGTCATTGAGGAAGGTCAGGCCCCTCGGCAGGGCCGGGGGTGGCCCGTGCCCCTTCGCCCCCTCCCCGGGATGTGTCACTGTGGGATGGACAAACCCGAACCGTCCCAGTGCGTTTCCAAAGGGTCCGGATGGCCTTGGTGTCGTTTCTGGGAGCTCTGGGTGATGCCGTGCGGCGCTTTGCCGTTGGAATGCTGTGAACTTCCCCAGTAGCTCTCACAGCACCGGTATCTGTGATCAGCACTGTCACCTCACCGGGAAGGAATGGGAAGCACGGCCCGGCCTCTCCCACGGAGCACTGGGGATGTGGGATTTGCCCGTGGCTGTTGCTCAAGCCCCTCTGTGCCTTGCTCAAGACGTGGTTTCCCACTTTAGCAACGTTGTAGGAGCTCAGGTGGAGGCAGGAGAGCTCCTTGTGTCCACATTTGGACCCGCTGCCTTTCCCTTTCCAAGGCATAATCAGAATTTCAGGGAAGTAGTGCTTCATCACACCTCTGGTGGATAATTCTGGGACTGTAAATTGAGTGAGCAGACATAGAGTAAGTGTTGCATTCAATAAATTCTGATTCTCTCTTCCCAGAGAATCTGAAATCTAGCTATAGGCTGTCTCAGGTGTAGCCTGTGACTGCACCCAGGATCCAAGAGGAATATTGGCAGTGCCACTGTAAAGTCTGGTGTCAGACATACTAGTTTTGCCTAATCATATACATTTTTAACATACACATTTTTTCCTTTCATTCTACATGGTATAGATAGAAAAGCTTTAAAACCTTAAAACATTTTTTTTTGGGTGTATATTACATGTTGAAACCATGTCTTTTTCTTTAAAATTTCAGAAATGGAGACAAACCATTTTGGAGTGAATTTTGGAGTTCATGGAAAATTGCTTTTTTCTGTATAAAATTATCAAAATTAAGTCCTAAGATTTTTTTCCTCTGTCTTAAACTAATCAACACTAACCGAGCCTTTTAGTTTGCCCTTTTCTCTAGGATCATTTAACTGTTTCTCATGATTTACAGGAAGGAACAGGATTATAAATGAATCATTACAGTGAGACAGGTTGATGCCAGGTGGAATGAGCTGAGCTTCTCTCTGTTAATCCTCAGAGGGTTGAGGATGCTGAAGGAAGGCTTTTCCCCCTCTCTGTGCTTGGGGTCTGTTCTGTTTGGAATTTGGACCTTTGGCTCCATATGATTGTTTATTAACCCAAACTCCTCGACTGCAGGGCTGGCTGGATGTCTGAATGCCATGTTCAGGACAGACCAGGGTTGTGAAGGACACAGATCTCTCCGCCCTTCATTTTAATTATCTCAGGCGCGTAATGAACCAAAATTAAATTTTCGTTGCCAGCAATCGGTGCTAAAGGTTTTTTTCCTACCTATTTCTGCTTTTTTGAACCCTTACAGACAGAAAACCAAAATTATTTACAATCTCAGCTGGGTGTTGCAACTCCTCTGGTCAGGCAGGCCTGAGGTAATTGAAGTGATGAGAGTTTACAACCCGGAGAAGTCTGATTTGTTTGTTTGTTTGCTCAGTATTCTTACAGAGTATTTCTGGTTCTGCTGTTTCAGCTTTGTTTGCCATCCTCAGTGTGGCTGTTCAGGTCAGCAGTGGTGTTTTTCAGAAAATATGCCAATTGTGGCCATTAAGCACGTTGTTACTGCTCCTGGGCTTTTGGAAATGATAGGGATGTAACAACCCCATGGCTACTGCGTGGTTGTTATCTGGGGAATGTTTACTCCCACTTCGCTCGAGTTTTTAGTCAGGATCTGAAAACTCTTTCTGAGATTTCTTTGTTTCTTTTTTCTTTAAAGTTAATATTTTACTTTAAATGTCAGGTACCACAAGACAGAAGAGTAATTTAAGACACACTAATAAGAATTGTACTTAGTGAGCAAAACCACGCAGAGGATACAAGTTCATGTGCCTTTGTGTTCCCTTTGTCTTTCCTGTTTATTTCCACATTGGAGCACTTTCTGTGTGCAACATGTGGCTGCCTGTCTAGGTGATCACAGAATCTCCTGAGCTGGAAGGGACCCACCAGGATCATCCAGTCCAACCCCTGGCCCTGCACAGACACCCCAGCCATCCCCTCCTGTCCTTGAGAGTGTTGACCAAACCCTCCTGGAGCTCTGGCAGCCTTGGGGCTGTGCCCTCTGCCCTGGGAGCCTGTTCAGTGCCAACCACCCTCTGGGGGAAGAACCTTTGCCTGAGATCCAACCTGACCCTGCCCTGACACAACTTCAGGCACTCCCTCAGGTCCTGTCACTGTCACACAGAGCAGAGATCAGAGCTGTCCCTCGGGAGGAGCTGCAGACCCCGATGAGTCTCCCCTCAGTCTCCTCCAGCTGAATCATCCAGGTGTGCTCCAAAGTGGTTTTACTCTGGTTTTGGCTGCTGGTGGTCTTGAGACATGAGCTGTGTTTGTGAAGGGGAGGGTCACAGAATCATCGAACCCCAGACTGGTTTGGGTTGGAAGGCACCTTAAGGCTCATCTCGTTCCACCCCTGGCATGGGCAGGGGCACCTTCCACCTTCCTGCTGGAGCAGGTTGCTCCAGCCCCATCCAGCCTGGCCTTACAAAGGCCTGAAGTGTGTCCAACTTGCAGGTAATTAGTGCTGTGATTTTAAATGAGCAGCAGCCCTCGGTGAGGACTCAGCTGCTGTACAGATGAGTCAGGCTGAACGACTCCGATTATCAGTGCAGTCTCCAGTGACCTGCTGTTCCACATTATCTTTGTTTATTCCTGATAAAGGTGACTGGCTCTGCTCTGGTTTTAAGAAATTTCTGATGGGCTGTGTCTTCTGGCTCAGCCTGTTTTGGTCTTTGTGCTGAAATATGTGTAATTTCAGGCAAAACAGAAAATCAGCTGTTGTTGGACAGTGGGGAATTTGCATCCATGAACGGCTGTGCTGGTATGGAACAGCTTATGGGATTTGGCTCTGAGTTGTTGCCTTGCCCATCTGCATTGATTTAAAACTAGCCCTGAGTCTGAGGTGCTGGTATTTATAGATCCTGCCAATCCCAGCATTAGCAGAGCAGAGATGTTACAGTTTTGTCACCTCAGGAAAATGTCATGTGGTAACATGGTCGTTCCAACCTGTTCTCTCTGGGGAACCAAGTGGGTAGAGGCTTTTTAAATCCACGTCTATTTGCACATTGTTGGCATCTTGTGCAGGTCCAGTGTCTGAGATTCCTTCTGCTGAGATTCCTTCTTTGAGGTCGTGAGTAATTTCCTGCTTGCTCAGCTGTCCTGGGCCTCTTGGCCTCCTCCTTTGCTTTTTGATACAGTTGTCAATTGATTCTTAATTGATGGTTATTTTCCGAATGAGAGAAGTGTTGTAGGGACTACCTGGAGGATAGAAATGTGGGATGGGGCAGAGGAGCCTCTGAAGGGTCACGTTGCTGCCTCCCTTCAGTCTGCACCTCCTGCCTCAGATCTGTGCTGGGAAGAGATGTTTCCCTGGGCTTCCCAAGAGAGATGGTTCTGAGCTCCCTGGTTCCCACTTCTGGGAAGACAGACATCCTGAGCAGTCATCACAAAGAGTTCTGTTTGCTGAAACCTTCCTTGGAGGGGAAATTGTCAGCAGTCATAGAATCACAGTCATGGAATACCCTGAGTTGGAAGGGACCCACGAGGATGATCGAGTCCAACTCCTGACCCTGCACAGGACACCCCAAAATCCCACCCTGTGCCTGGGAGGGGTGTCCAGATGGGAATCACAGGACACCTTGCTCATGGTCTCTGAGGTGACACTCTGATGCTTCCAACCACAGGAACCTTGAACAGGTTTGGAGGTTGAATTTCTCCCAACCCTGACATGACTTCACTTACAGTTCTTTTCCTCTGCTTATCACTGTAGCAACTTCTCTGCAGCCTGACTCAAGCAGTCAGGACTGGGGGACTTTTTTAAAAAGAGTTTTTTTGTAAAGAATGGATTCACTTTACTCAAGTCTTCATTTTTTAGATCCATTATAACTGTGTGGTTACTGTGTCAGGGAACTCTTCCATGGTACTGTGGTATTCTTGTGCTCTCACATTTTAACTTTTATAGGGTTTTTCACATCTTCAGGCAACAAAACACTTTGTCTTTATAATTTATCCCAAGGTGCAGCATTTGTTCTCACTTAGCACATTTTCAGTTCTTCTGCATTATTTTAACATGCCTGGTTTGGGCCTGTATTACTCATCTCTAATTTTTTCCAATTTTCTAATTATCTTCTAAAATATTTTCATGCATTCTAAAAATATTTTCCTAATATATTTGAGAAGCTGATAACATCCTTGCTGTTGTCTCATTTTGCCATGTAGGGTTTGGACAAGCACAGACTAAGAGGTGTGGTTATACCTTTGCTTTTTTCCATCCTTCTTTTAAGGGAAATCTGATCTGAGAGACTGGTTTTCTCAGCTGGATGTTTGCAACTTCATGTTTTAGAAAAGTACTTAAAATCCATTTACAGCTTCTCACACAAGGGCGAAAGGAAGGATTTTTGTTTCAAGTTCTTTTGTAAACCTGAAAACTGAATTGCTTGTTTAGCTCTGGGCTGTGATTTAAGCATTTTATCTGGAAGTTATTAGGGGAAAAAGCCTCCAGGAGAATTTGCTGGTGTTGCTGCCTGCCTTTGGAGCTGTTTGGTAGTAACAACAGTAATAATATTCAGATTAAGGGCCACTTACTTGGGCTGTTGGGGCTCGTAGAAACATGGAATTGTGCAGGGAAAGAAGTGTGATAGAGCCTTCTCTGTGCTGTGGCATGGTTTGGATTGCAAATCCAGAGGAGAGGGACTGGTTGCTGTGGTACATGCCTGGTCTGGGCAATGTGCTCCACATTAAATATTCCTTAGGAAAGTTTACAATCCAGTAAGACTGCACTAAAATGTAGAAGCTTCAGCAGCTCACGGGTGCCTGTTTAACTGTGGCTCTGTGGTGGATTTGCCAGCCTTTCTGGTCTGGGCAGTGATCAAGCAGAGGTCTGGTATCCTGAACTGCTCGACCTCTGGATATCCCAGGGAAATTCCCACCAGGCATGTGCAGAGGACTGCCCTGTGCTCCATGAGGCTGCTCCAGCCATCCCTCCTCTGGGAACATTGTCCCAGCCCCTGTGTCCGTGTTCCCTCTTTGCTGTTCCCTATAAAACTGTGGCTTCATCCTTAAACAACAAAGGAAGTCCTTTTCCATTTTGGAGTTAGTCAGGACTGCTTGTGGAGTAACTTGTGCTCTGTCTCTGCAGTGGGATATTGGCTTGGCTTGACATGGAATGTTGGTGATGCTCCCAGACCAGCTCTGGGGTGAAAAGAGGAGTGTTTGTCCTGTTACACTGGGAGAATGGGTTGGACTGTTACGTGAAATGTTGTATTTCCAGAGAGAGTGCTATGATTTGGTTTATTTTTTACCCTGGAAGTAAAATTTCACACTTGTGGGCTGGTTACTCCTTTTAATCTTTTAATCTTAAGCTTGATATATTGCTGTCTATTGGCAGCTGGTGACTGGGAAGGTTGTTACTGGTTAGCAGAGATGTAAATAAGGATTTCATACTCAGATGTTACTTAGCTGAAGATTTTCTCTTTAGAACTTCCCTTGTTCCAGACCCTTTCAGATCCCCTACACTCTGAAGGGAGGCTCGTGGAGGGTAATAAAATATTTTGTGGCATTAACACATTTAAAGTATTTCAGGGATGAGTAAGTACAAGAGGCAAATATCAAAGTTTGGGGTAATTCTTTCATCTCATTTTGACTTCTGTTATATCCTGTCATTTACAATGGAAGGCAACTCGTGCTCATACACTGAACCACACTGGCTGTATTATGTTGGGAAGGTGCCAATATAATTTTGGAACTCCACTTTGGGGAAGAAGAAGTTACAATGGCTGGAGAAACCTGTCAGAGCAGGAGAGCATTCACTAAATGATCCTTTAACCTGCAGTGACTGAAGGATGCGTGGAGGGAGAAGCCTCAAGGAGTTTCAGTCACATTGGAAGAGTTTTTAGTTGGCCTTAGTTAAATGATAATTTGTATATATTGTTAGAAAAGCCTTCCTTTTCTTTTTTTATTTTTGGTTAAAATCTGATTTTTGGGATGGCGGTGTCCCTGCTCATGGTGCAGGTGGTGACATTACCCACCCCCTGCCTGGCCATGTTGTGTCCTATATCTCCACTGCTGTTGCCCAATTGGAATGAAAAAATTCCCAGTGCCGTGTGCTAATGATGTTTGATGACACAGTTGAGTGAACAGTGTTTTGGCAGCAGGGCTGAGTGAATTACACACCTTTTCCTCCTTCCCGATTCCTGCCGCTCCCTCAGGTGTGTGGGGTGGGAACTGGGAATATCCTCGGGATCTGGGAAGGCAGGATGCTGTTGATCCATAAAAGAAGGTGGATTTACCTGTGTGGCCTGCGTTGAAGGAGCTAAATGAGCCCTGATGGGGAGTTTTTCCTGCCAGTTAGTAAATATGAAAGTCAGGCAAGTGCAGGACATTCTGGTTAACAGACTGTTGGAAAAACTTTTTTTTATTGGGGGTGTGTGTTTGTTTGTTTGTTTGAATTTTTTAATAAAAAATACTGTTGGGTTTTTTTATTGTCTCTCAGTAGAAAACAAAGGAAAAAACAAGAATGTTTTCTCAAGATGACAAATTTGGAGCCTACACATGTGGGTCTTAAACACACCTCTTCCCAGGAGCTGGAGAGTGGATATTGCTTTTAGGGTGATGTTTAGGGTTTTTAGGGTAAGACTTAAGGATTTTTAGGTTTTAGCACGTGTGCTTCATACAGTAATGTCAGTGTAAGGGTGTTTCAGCTAAGCAAGAAATGGCAAAAGAATGAACTGGAAGGTAAAAAAGGCTTAAAAAAAAAAGTTGCTTGAGCAGAGAATTGCACTGGGAACTCTTGAGTTTCAGGGATCTTTTTTTCTTATTAAGGGATATCCTAAATTACAATTCAGCTGCTAGAACCTGGAGTTTCTGGTTTGACTTTTTCAACACTCCACATCACTTTAACAGTTGGTATAATTGATTTTGAAGGGGTTTTTAGACTTGATTTCAGTAACTTTACGCTTGACTAAAACCAAAGAGATACCAGGAGAAGCCAAAGCAAACCAGTTTTCCAACGTCTGCCTTGTTCGTGTGTTTAGGTGGCTGTCAATGCACACATCCCTCCGGATTATCTTCTTAGGATCTGTGAGAGGCTTGGACCCCTCTTAGACAAGGAAATCCCCCAGAGTGTTTTAGGGGTGCAGACTTTGCTGGGTGTCGGGCGCCAGTCTCTCCTGAGGGCAGCAAAAGGTAAGAATCCCCATCTCTTTGTGTTTGAATTCCATTTTAATGATCAAAACTCTCTTGTTTCGATTCAAGTTGTGCTATCTGTGTGTTTGATGAGCCCTGCTTTGTCTCCTGTGCTTGGCAGCTTTCTTGTTGCTGAAATGCAGTTGTTGCTGGCCCTGTTGGATGTATTTTCTGTGGTTGAAAGTGCCATTTTAAGCAGTTCTTGCCTGATCTTGTTACTTGCTTTCTCTGCCTCCTCTCCCCACTGTGTTGGACTGGTGGTTGTGTAAATGATGTGAACTGGATTAGGGCTTTGATCCATCTGAAAAATGCCATTTTTTCATATACATTTGCACACACCTGTGTCTAAAATCACCCAGCAGTCGATGTGTTTTGCTGGGCAATTTTTGAGCCTTATTTCTTCCATTATTTGATTCCCTGGCTGTGCAGACACAGGACAAGGTGGGATTTGGGGCAGCATTTAGGGCGTGGGAGAAGGTGAGGCTGATTCTTCAGTGACAATTCCTGCTTGTCCTTGCTTAAAGTGAATTTGAAAGCCCCCAGTCCTTTCATGAACAGTCCTGTTGCCTTTGAAAAACTGCTCTGCTTGAGAGAATGATCCTGAGAGCGGTTTTGTGTTAAAACTAAACAGATCTGAGAACCATCTGCTATTGGAGAGTGATTCCTCCCTTCCCTCCTCTCTCCATTCCCCTGACACTTCCTCCCTGGAGGAGCCACAACTTCCTTGATCCTGCAATGTGCTGATTCAGGGAGCTGAAATGTTGCAAAATTTGTTGTAGTGCATTAAATGAGTTGGTGGAAAAGGATCAGAGGGCTGGAGGTGACACAGGAGCACCATCCTGGCAGAGGAGGATGGATGAGACAGCAGGACCTTCCTGTTTGGGTGGCATCGAGCACTTAATTCCCTGCATCCTGTGAAGTCACACTGATGCTAACGAGGACTGTGGCTTTCTGCTGATCCATTGGATGTCTCCTGGAGGGATGTGCTGTTTGCAAACACCCAGAGTTTTGGGACTGAGTCTTGTTTTGCCTGTGCTTTTGCTGTAATTGGGTGGAGAATTTCAGGTTTGCGGAGAAACATTCCTTCATTTCACACTCAGTTTGCAGAAAGCAGCAGCGAAACATGGAGAGAAAATAAACTTTTTTATGCAGGGAGACAGAACTTCTGAGGTGTATTGATCTATTTTGGGAAGTCTTGAGTGCTGTTTTTAATGAGTAGCATTTGTTACTCTGGGCTGCAGTTTGGGGTTTAATAGGAAGGTGCTCTCAGGGAGCTCTGAGTCCCCTAAGCTTGTGCTCTTGATGTTCAGAGATGTAGATGGTGCTACACAGACCCACCAACCTGTGGCACTGTGCTTCAGTTTCACTACTTACACACCGTGGAAGCTCATTTCTCTCCTTCCAGATGGCCAGAAATGGAAGAAATCCAGGTCTAATTTCTGAGGCACTCAGAAAAATCACTATTGTTCTAGAGAGGAGGCTCTCCGAGGCCAGTTGGCAGCAGAGAGCTGGAGAGTCTTTAAAGCAAGCAGTCTTCACTTTAAAACAATGATTTTTTTGGGGGGTTGGGGTGCAGAGGACAATCTGAAAGGAGGGCATGTTGCCACCAATTGCAAGAAAACAGATTTACTGGATAAAAACTCACTTCTCCACTTGCAGGGAGCAAATGTGTGTGTGTGTGTTTGTGTATTCTCAAATGTACGGTTCCTAAGCGAGGTGCTTTTAGTGCTGGGATTGCAGGACTGAAAACATGGCAAAGCTCAGTGCTGCCTCAGTATAAAGTGTTTTTTTAAATTCTTTTTCTTTCCATTAATTTAGACTCACTAGTCACCCAAATTAACCAAAAATAAGTTGAAACCATTTACAGTGATAATTGCTTAGGAACTGGAAGTCAGAGTAGCTTTAAGTGATAGATCTCTGGCAAACTGTTTAACAAGGCAGATCTTACTCTGGGGTGCTGGGAGCGGTGCTTGATCTCCTGATTATTTAATTTGCTGGTGATTTCTATTCTCTTTGTGGTGCAGACTTCAGACACACGCTATGGAAAGGCTCTGCCTTCGCAGCTCTGCACAGGGGCCGACCCCCAGAACTCCCCGTGAACTACGGGAAGCCACCAAACGTGGGTGAGTTTGGAACTGCATTTATTCCTGTCCTGCTGGAAGTTGCTCTCACTGACTGAAACACTTCTGTGTGTTTGAATTAATGTGGTTTTTTTTAACGTTACACCGTGAATTAATCTAGAATAGATTTCTCCCTGACAGTAGAATGGTTTTTGTGTTGTTCAGGCTTGGAGCTCCCACAGTGTGTGTAGACATGTTTTGCAAGGTTTGCACGTTGACTTGTTTGGAGGGCAACAGGTTTGAGTATCTTTTTATGATACGCCTACATAATATATACATTTGTTTATAAAATTGGATAGGCACGGCCACAGGAGCATGGAATCCTGGAATCATCACAGGAATCTTAGCCAGAACCAAGTGTCTGGCTCCCAGGGAGCTTTTTTGACTCAAGAATTCCTTTTAGTTTGATTATGACAGAAAACAGACTGCTTGCAACATCCCTCTCCAAAAAGGAAATAATCACCAAAGCAACATTTGTGTTACTTCAGACTCAGTTGTCCACACAGATAAAGAACTTGTGTAAAAATATGTGGGCTCTCAGCTGACATCTCATCACAGAGCTGCTCTGTTTTATTTAAACTGAAGTGTTTTCCTTGTATGGTCTGAGCTTTGGTTAACTATTTTTATAGCAAACAAGTTTGGTTCTTGCAGGCATAAATGTAGATCCTGGTTTGGTTCTTCTTGGAGTATTTTATCTCTGTGCAAATGTTTTGCTGGTTTGTCAGGGAATCCTTTCAGATGTGCACACTCCCTTCCTTTGGAGGTAAAGGGATGGCAATTTTCTTTTTTTGCCATATCTTTGTATTTATTATTTTAGGTGGGTTCTGCAGTTCCTTTAGTGTGAGCAGTTGTGCTGATGGATTACTAATAACCTAGATTGTAGATTTGTTGCACACAACTTCTACAGCTGTATTTCTGTATGGATTCTTGGATCAGTTCTTTCATCAGACTGGGTGTTTTTGGAATATGTGGTATTATTAATGAACCAACCTGGCAGATTGGGCTTCAGCATTTATCAAGTTTTCATGGCAAATGTTTCTGCTGCTCGCTTGGTGATTATTTAGTGACTTAAAAAAACAGAATAATTTCTTGTGTTTGGTGTTTTCCTAATTGCTTTTTTAATAAATGCAAAGGTATTATATGGAAAAGGGTCTTTTATAGCCAGGAATTAACTTCTATAAGTATTGATTCCTGGAAGAATACAGGAATACAACCCTGCTTGGTGTATCTACATAAACTACTCGTAAGAGAAGAAAATGTGTGTGAAGATTAAAACAAGGAGCTGGCTATATTTAAGGCAGCAGTTTGGTTTTTGGATTCCTCATTGTTAATCCTGAAGTTGAAGTCACAAAATTCTGTATATATCTGTGCAAAATGGGTGTTTTTCTCTCCTGAGTAGTGCCAGTCAGCATGTCTTGTTTTAAATACAAGATGAAGAGCAGTGTCTGACCTCTTTGGGATTTTGGCATAACTGTGAATTCCCACACTGTGCTGGCTCAGTCAGAGGGATTTTTCTGGAATTACTTGCTGAAGGAGTTGGGCTGAAGGGAAAGACACCCATGGTCATGTGTGTTCAGGAGTGAGACTGAGCAGTTACCTCTGTGACCTGGTAAATAAGGTATAGAATGAGCAGCTGAAAGTCTTCCTGTATCATTGCCCTTCCAGTGATAGGGATTTAAGATTTCCACCATGAGTGTGTTGTTCTGCTGGGAGAACAGGATCGCTGATTGTCCAGCTGGGATCAACAGGGAGGGTCCAGTTGGAAGAGCTGGTAGCTGCGTTGGTTTGCCTTTCCATGTGGTTGGGGTTGGTTGGGATGGGACCTTGGGGTCTGTACTTGAAAATGAAAGGTCTGGTGGAACTGGAGCAGGAAATCAGTGTTGCCTTTTCCCAGCGTGTTTGTGCAGAGCTGGGAATCTTCTGCCTGGGGGAGTCTCCGGGAAAGTGCTGATCTGTGGAAGTTGTTCCCAAGGATGTGGTGTCTGTCTGTTGAGTCTGTGGGGATCTGCTGGGGGAGGAGAGGGAGGGGAAACACTGGCTGGATGTCCTGCTGCCAGGACAACTTGGGGAACCCTGGAGATGGTCTGGTGGAGCCTTTGTGGGCAGGTTTTGCAGTTGTGGGATTTTTAGGGCTCCGTTTGTGCTCTCCCAGTCAGCAAGTGGAAAGACTGGTCATGCAGTACCTCAGCACTGGGAGTTATTCCCCTTTGATAACCCTGCTTTTGGTGCTACTTCAGTTTGTCAGAGCTTTGTTTTTTGGAGGCAACTCAATGCAGATCAGAAAGAAGGTTATTTTCGCTCTTTACGAGCTGCTCTAACATGAGGATGAAAATCTTTCTGTAGGTAACTTGTTAGTGAAAATAACACAGAATTTGGAAGCAGAAAGCACAGTCTCAGTGAGCAAGCATTTGAGCTGGATGGAAATTCACAGTCAAGGTGATCCAGCTACCTTGGCCGTGCCAGAGAGCAGCGCTGGGATGAGGTCAGGAATCGATGGTGTCTCGTGCTGTAAAAGAGTTCCATGAGGTCAGTGGCTCCCAGAGCTGGAACATCGTGCTTTCAGTGCTTTTCCTGGGTCCAGCTCTCTTTGTGGCCACTCTGAGATGCTATTTTCCTCGAGTGAGCCAACTGTATTGAATTCCCAGCACTCTTATGAGATCCTGACCTGTGTTTCTCCCCCACTCTGTGAGTGGTACCCGATCCTTGCTCACTCTGGCCCTGCTATGAGAGCAAAATTTAAGTCCTCATTCCAGAGTTACAGTGCTTATTGCAGAGGGTGAAACAGTCTGATGTGAACTCATCACCCTTGAGAAACTGGTTTTAAACCAAACATTTGCACCAGTTTCCTGTCTTCTTAGTTTTCCTTGCAAAAAGTGGAGCAGCACAAGGGTTTGTAGGGAGAGGAAGAATTCGAGCAGGTGCTGCCTCGCTGACTTTGCCATCTGAAACGCTTGAATTCCTCTTGAAATTGTGACTTAACTTTGAAATTTGGGCTGTCTGGTGATTGGTTTTTAAACTTCCTTTACACTGGTGGGTTGTTGTTGCAGGGTTTGGGGTTTGTCCTTCCTAGGTGAACTTTCTTACAGGGGTTTTTACGTTTGTGCTGTTACCTCTGGTAGAACGTGAGGTAAATTGTGGTTAATGAGTTGCTGTTGTACAGCATATATGGCTTGCATTAAGAACTCTTAATTTTCCTGAAGGTGTGATCTTCCAGGACCAAGGACTGTGGAACGTAAAGAGAAAAATGCCTGTATTTTACAGGTTGTTAGTTGGAGGAGCTTAGATGGTCCCTCAGTTTGAGGACAAAGCTAACTTTTCTTATCAAGAAGACAAGATCTGCTCCCTTTTTTTGTGAAATAACTGTCTGGAAAGTCTTTCCTGGCAGGGAATAGTGAGAGGGTGGACTTGGCATCTTTTACACCCAGTATGGCATGAAATACATCAGTTAATTAGATAGGTTCCTAAAATCTTTTAAGGTTACTAAGTTGCTCTTTCTTCGGGTGGGAATTGTTGGTTTTTAATGCTTTGGGGCCTTAGGAGTACAAGGACTTCATTGTACTGAAGAAAGGAAACTTCACAGGGATTTTTGTCATGTGGGGGTAATTCCCTATTTGGATATTGTGTATTAATCTTCCTAAGAACTGGAATTGGGGATGGTTTTTTTGTCCCTTTGAAGCACTGATAGGGTTTTTTTTGTCCAAAGATGCTGTTGCTTTGATAAATTCGTTGCTCCTCATGGCACAACCAAAGTTCTGGGTGTCTCTTGATTGAAGCATTTCATAAACAGGGCTTTTTATTTTGTAATTATCCATGGGAGATTGAGGAGTTTTGTCCTCATTGTGCAAATAGGGAAATAAACACAGGAAAAAAAAAAAAGTGAAATCACTTTCATATCCGCTGGAGCTGAACTGATTGCAAGGCTGGGAATCCACCGGAAAAGTGAGGTGCCAAGACTGGGATTTAAGTGCCTGAATATTCTTTATACCTTTCAGTGTTTCCTTCATGTGATTTACACCAAAAATCAGGGGAAAATGTTCAGAAGGATTGCATGGAGACACAGAAAATACCACCATTATTGGGAATATTTTGAAATGTGAATATACCTTTTTGATTCACACAGTTCTTTGTGTGGCTAAAACATTATTCAGAGCTGTTTGAAATTGCTTAAAGGCAGATACACTGTTATTATGTATTTAAATCTATAAATATATATGTATTTAAAGGCTTTAAGCATTGAAAAGCACAGCAGAATCGCCAGGTTGCTGAATGACTCCATCCCTCTATTGGCACAGAGGGTCCACAGGGTGGGGGGACAGGGAGGTTTAATATTTTTAAAAATTCGGCTTTTAAGCTGTCACACTTACATAGTAAATAAAATAATGTATAGGAAAACCTGAGGCACCTTTGTAGAGCATTTAGCACTGTGGGATCTCTGTGTTAGAGGTGTAAAAAAGGTTAAAAAAAATTCAGTTTTACTTTGCTTGAGGAGACAGTTTTGTTTAACAGCCCTGTGTAATGCCAGGCAGCAACTCAGTAGTGGGTAGATAGTAAACTAATTTGCTTCAGTGTGTTTTGCTTTTTAGTACTGCTGAATATGTGCTTTTACATGCAAAGCAAATATTGACTGAAGGTGAGGTTACGCTGGAGCCTGATGGCTTTTGCAAGTGTCTTTTATGCAGCTTTTTTCCCTCATGGGTTGTGTTTCAGGTATATTGAGCGATTAAAAATAATCTAAGTTTCCAAATTTGAGACAAAAATACTTTCTGTAAAGCTGAAATAAGTGTATTTATTAATAGATGCTTCAGTGGTACAAATTTACACAAGTGAGTTTACGGATTTGTAACCCTTTGAAATGGAACTTCTTGACTTTGTAGGTTAATTTTTTTACTGTATTCCTTTTTTTTTTTTTTGGAGATTGGGAATGAGACAATTAAGCAGTGGGCTGAGTTTTGCACTGTAGTTTTAAACTAAGGGGTTGAAAGGCTCGAAGGATCTTGGTGGTGCTCCTGTGAAGCCCAACCTACTTCAAGGTGCAGGAGGCAAGATAAGGAGTTTCTCCAGGGGATCTGCTATCGCAGGGGCTCCACAAACCCACCAGCCCAGCAGTGTTGGAGCCTCAAGTGCCACTGGAAAAACCTCTCCAAACTTTAAACCCCAAAGTTCAAGTGCTATGAAGGAGGATGGGTCGGGGAAAATAGTAATAATGGAGGGTTGGTGAAATTTAAATACCCCCAAAATGAGCTAAAATTGTGCATCAAATCAAAGATGGGCTTTTTTACCTGGTGTTTTTGTGGATTTAGATTTCAGGCTGTTCTTGGAAGGATTTCTGTCTGTAGCAGTGGGAAATGATTGGGTATTGCAGTTTATTTCTTGTACCTGCCATTCTTTTGAGTGAGACTTTTCCATCAGTGCCACATATTTCTTATTCTTCAATTCCACAGCCATAAGGAATGCAGTGATGTTGATGTTGAACACATGGAAGACCTTTGACCATCCCATATGACCTAGAAGCCATTCCAAAGAAAGATTTTTATCACCAAAAAAGCACTTTAAAATAAACAATTACTATATTGTAAAACTAAACGTGTTGTAATTGTTATTGGTAACATCTAATTTCCATAAAGCAGATTTCCCAAATCCATGTAGAGTAAGTGTATCTGTACCTGTTCATGAATTGAACATTGGAACAACTCCTACTTGTGGTGGGAACTTTTAATTTTGCTGTAATTTTTGGTGAGGAAGCAGGTGCAGGGTGTGGTGTGTATTGAAAGGCTTTATCAGGAGTGGGATTTCTTTTTATAACATCATCCAGAACATTCTGATAAGGTGGAAGAGGCTCAGATTTACGGATTATAACAACAAAGTTGTTAAGGAACGTTGTATTTGATTTAATACTTATTTACATTGAGTTCTAGTCCAAAATCCATGTCTCAGTTTTTGTTCTGCTTTGTTTTTCTCTCTCCCAGTTCACATCCTGTCTGCCAGGCAGTTAACTGGATGTGGCCGTTTCAGCCACTTGTTCCCAACATCCACTTACCAACACATGAAGATGCATAAGAGGATTTTGGGGCACCTCTCATCTGTTTATTGTATCGCCTTTGACCGCAGTGGGAGGAGAATTTTTACAGTAAGTTTAAAAATTGGATTTTTTTTTTTTTTGAAGATTGCTTTGCTTGGTTTGATTTCCTTGTTTCGTGAGTTCCTCAACAGCCTTTCCTCACTGATTAAGATGCAGACACAACTTAATTCAGCTGCAAGTTAGTTTTCTACTAAATTTACCTTTCAGAATTTGTGGTCTGTCAGTGAATGCATGGCTGTTAATTTCAGATTTTCTCCAGAATATAGTAGCATCCATTTATCCATTTCTGTGGTACTGCCCTTGCTTTTTGTTGGGCATATTTAAAAATCAGTAGATTTTTCAAATTAATGCTGCATTTTTAGCTGTTAATGTTAATCCCTGTGCATGGAGTGACAGGACAAAAGGGAATGGCCTTCAGGTGAAGGGGGCAGGGTTAGATGGGATTTTGGGAAGAAATTATTGGCTGTGAGGGTGGGGAAGTCCTGGCACAGGTTGCCCAGAGAAGCTGTGGCTGCCCCTGGATCCCTGGCAGTGTCCAAGGCCAGGCTGGATGGTGCTTGGAGCAACCTGGGCTAGTGGAAGGTGTCCCTGCCCATGGCAGGAGGTGCCTCTGGTTTGGGTTGGAAGGGACCTGAAAGCCCATCCAGTCCCACTCCCTGCTGTGGGCAGGGACAACTTCCACCAGCCCAGGTTGCTCCAAGCCCCATCCAACCTGGCCTTGGACACTTCCAGGGATCCAGGGGCAGCCACAGCTTCTCTGGGCAACCTGTGCCAGGGCCTCCCACCCTCACAGCCAAGAAATCCTTCCCAATATCCACCCTCACAGTAAAGAAATTATTCCTAATACAGCAGTGCAGTCCCACTGAAGCGCTTCCAGCACGGCCGCGGTGCTGGAGGTCCCTGCCCACCCGCGGTGCCACGTGGGTGACATGCCTGGATTGAGGCGATCTTTGGGAGTGTCTTGTGTTCCCAGGGCTCAGATGACTGTCTGGTGAAGATCTGGGCGACGGATGACGGGCGCCTGCTGTCCACCCTGCGGGGGCACTCGGCCGAGATCTCGGACATGGCCGTGAACTACGAGAACACGCTGCTGGCCGCGGGCAGCTGCGACAAGGTGGTGCGGGTGTGGTGCCTCCGCACCTGCGCCCCCCTGGCCGTCCTGCAGGGCCACTCAGCTTCCATCACTTCCATACAGGTGAGGGACCGTTGGGTTTGGGTTCAAATGGTGATACGAGGTTGGCAATCCGAGATAAAATTCATCATTCCATCTCTGGAATGGTTTGTCCTGACTCGAGGGTGTTTTTTCTTGGCAAATTCGCTGCTGCTTCATCCCGCTGCTTCCATGGGCCTTTAGCTGTGGGACCCCACTGCTGCTTCCACAGGCCTTTAGCTGTGGGATCCCACTGCTGCTTCCACGGACCTTTAGCTGTGGGACCCCACTGCTGCTGCCTTGGGTCGAGAAAACGATAGATCTGGTGCTCTCAATGAGCCGAGGAGTCGTGGTTGGCATCTTTGGTGCTGGTCCTGGCACGGTACCTGAGCCAACAGTCCTGTGTTTGTGGAGGACGTTTATTTTTTGGAAGAATCAGCTAAAACTCCTTATTCCACGTCTCTTGTTTCTTTGTTACCTTAACTTGTAGCATAAGGAGCTGTTCTGGCTTTTGTAGAAAGCGCAGATTTTCTTTAAAAAACAACACAGCTGCCAGAAACCTCCAAAAATCAAAATTCCAGGATGAAAAACCCCCAATCCCTGCAATTTGGCAGGTGATGCATGTAGAGGGGAGAGTGAGGGGGGCTGTTTGGCTCAGAATCCCTCTCTCTGGGAGCTGTGCTTCCTTGGATTCAGCACAGGCTTCTCCATTATGCCAGTGGTCCCCAGGAGCTTTGTAGGGAAGAGGGGGAGAAACAATTCCAATTTTGTCTGATTTCAGTCATATTAAGGTGATTGTTTTGGAAACATATTTTGCAACGTGCTGTTATAATTGGTATATTACTTTTTACATATCTCTGTGTGTATATATATATATATACATATACATTTAGAATAAAATCAGTGGTGGCTTTTTGAGGAACCAGTGCAAACAATGCAAATAGAGGAAACAATTCCTCTATCAAATTACCAGGTAGCCAGAGGATTAAAGGCATTTCTGCAATTATGAAATTAAGAATAAAAAGCTTTCCCGCTCCTTAGAGAGGCAGAGGAGACATTCAGGAAGAGGGAGGGAGTGGGGATCCTGCTGTGCTGCTGTTCTTCTTTGGGATGCAGGAATCATTTTTGCCATGTTTGATCCAGTTCTGTCCTCAAAAGAACTATTTCCTCATCTTGATACCCCATTAAAAGGGTCTGGGCTTGTTTCATTTCTCCCATTTACCCTCATTTGTGTGGTAGAAATAAAGAATTCCTCCTCAAAATGTGGGGGTTTTCCATTTCCTCAGCTTGTTTTGTATGGAAGTTCAGATTCTGTGCCCATCCCTGCTCCCCGTTCTCCTGGGGAAAAAAAAATGTGAAAAAAAATCTTTTACAGGTTTCCAGCATGAAAGAAGAGAAAGAAATTAGCTGGTTTAATTGTTCCAACTTTATTTTTAGTTCTCTCCAGCAAGGAAAGGAACAACACGATACCTCACCTCCACTGGTGCCGATGGAACAATCTGTTTCTGGCAGTGGCATGCGAACACCATGAAATTTAAGTAAGACTCTTTAGATAATTATAATTATTTTGACTCAAGGAGGGATTTATTTTGAGTTTTGGCCTGAGGAGGAATGCTGAGATAATTAAATAAGGGTGTTTTCTTGCTCAGTAAGCTGGTGTGGGGGGCAGGGATTCTGTTGGAACCCAGAGGGGAGGCAGAGATTGGGGTTGTTATTTCTGGGGTTTTGTGCCTTGCGAGGCAAAGTTGTGGAAGAACTTCCAGCTCTTTTGTTAAGGAATAGAATCCTTGTCCAAAATGGCAGAAGACATAATTTGCTTTTAATCAGAAGAACATGCATATGTAAATGTCACCAAACCCATATTTAATAAATGCCATCAGACAAGTGGTTTGGCAGGTTCTGTTTTAAATAGATTTGAATTGGTGAGTATCGTGATAAATCAGTTAAATACTCCTTTCAATTTAGAAAATTATGGTTTTCTTATTCAACTAAGGACAAAAATGCCTCAAATGAAAAGTTCTAGGAAACTTAGGTGAGAATAAAAGAGATATGTGATATAAAAGAGATTTAAGGTGAGCATACTGACCCCAGCCTGAGGTGCAAGGAGATGTTTTTGTTGACTAGAGCAATGAACAGTAAAAATGTTGTGTTGTTGCACGTAGGGATCGTCCTGTAAAGTTTGCAGAGAGGTCCAGGCCTGGTGTTCAGATCTCCTGTTCATCCTTCAGTTCTGGTACGTGTCCTGTCAGGTATTCCATGGACTTGGGTACTTTGGTGACAGTTCTGCTACTTCTCTTTAAATACAAATACTATTAAACCTTTTTCCAGGTAATTTTAGCTCTGTCACATTGGGATTGTTTGAAAGTTTCCATGCCAAGTGTCTGCCTCAAGTTGCTTTTTCCCTTTTTTCCTGTAATTTAAGCTAAAATATCTTGACCAACTCAAAGGCTTGAAAGCCTCTTGTTTTGCACATCAGAGACGTTTTATATGTTATATTTTTATACTTTTTTATATTTTTACAAAGAAAATTTCTCATGAAATTTGCCTTTTTGAAATGGAGAGCTCTTCTAGAGCCACGTTCCTTTCTTCAAACCAGAATTCCTGAAATAACTAAACCCATTTCAAATGCAGTAAATCACACAACAGTGCCCTTTTGGGGCAATACTGTAAAGAAATTACAAGAAAAGGGAGACTAAGAGTGTAAGTTTGTCACAAGCATTTTTAAACACTTTTTAATCACAGTGGGAAAATTCAGATTAGGGAAACTGGAAAGGACAAACAGTCACTTAATAAAATTGAATTTGTTTGGCTTTGAAATGTAATTTTGTATATAAATGGAATGTACTTTCAAAAGGTGTTGACCACCCTGTGAAAATGTATTACATAAGGAGCTTTTTCCCAGTTTCTCAGCAATCACTGACTCCTGATTCAGCAATAATTTCTCTGGTTTGTGTCAAATAGAATGGAAGATGCACTTAAATATTTTATTTTATATCTACCGGTTTACATTGAAATTTTCTGTTTCGAACGACTTTGCTGCTTCGACAAGAAAGCAGCAAATTCAGATAAACAGAGTTCAAAGAAGTTGTTCCTTGGATGACTTTTCTTCTCTTGGAAAACCCTCTGTTTAGGTGGCATGTTCATTGCAACAGGCAGCACTGACCATGTGATAAGAATTTATTATTTGGGCTCAGAATCTCCAGAGAAAATGGCTGAGCTGGAATCTCACACGGTAAGAGGCAAATCAGGAAGCAAATCTTTTTTCCTCCCCCTTCACCTGATTTCAGGAACTTGGGTTTTTACATCTCTTTTGATTTATTAACTCTCCAGAATGTATTTGGCTCTCAACACTGTGGTGTTTAAATGCCTGGAAATTTTGGGGTTGGTTGTTTCTAAATCCCTCTGAGGCAAGAGGTTGGTGCAAAATAGGTTTTTATATATTTTATTCTCCCAGAAAACTGAGGGATCAGGTGATTTTCCCATATTCCTGAAGAAAGTCTGGGTTGGAAGGAGGAATTAAAGCGGTTTTAATGCACCATGTTATTCTTTTCCTATTAAATTTCCTGCTGAGTATTTAACTTCAGTTGTGACCACAAACCTACATACAAAAAACCCAAAGTAATTCAGGTTTTAGAGTGTGCAGTCAGTGTTTGGATCATGATGGAAATTTCCTTTAGAAAATCAAGCTCAGAAGCATCTTTTTTCAGGTAAGGCAGAAGGACTCCCATAAAAATTCAAACTTCCCACCTTAACAGCATTTTATGGATTAAGCCTGAAGTCTAAATTCATTCACTGAACTGAAGTGAGAGTTCACTTAAATCTCCAAACCAACCCATCTAACAAGTATTTTGCTCACAAAAGAGTGTTTTCTGTATGGAGCAGGGTTGGAAGGAGCTGTAATTCCTTTAATTTTTTGAAATCCACTCTTAATCCTGTGGACAACAAATCCCAGGTGGGTTATCAGGAGCTGGAGACACCAGTGGGAGTAAGGATACAAGTACCAGGAGCAAACACAAGTATTTAGCAAATTAAAAAAAAAAAAAGACAAACCCATGTCTGAAACATAATATTTGTTTCTGAAGAGTTTATAAGTGGAAATAAAGCCAAGGTTTTCAATTTTTGGATTAAATTTTTTTGATGCACTTTAATATTAGGTCTAAAAATTGCAGGAAACCATCACCTCTCTGAAGTTTTCTGTTTGAGTGTTTGACACAGCAAGTCTGGGGAAGTTTTAGCTTTAAATACAACTTCTCTGCACGTGAATTTTTAAGGCTGTTGTAGGAAAGATACAGTTTGCTAAATAAAAACTAATCAAGAATCAACTAATTAAGAACTTTCAGGGTGAGTGTTTCAGCTTACAAAGCACTTACTGCTGTGTTTTCCTCTTCAGGACAAGGTGGTTGCAGTCCAGTTCTGTAACAACGGGGACAGGTGAGTGGCTGCCCTGGGGTTTGCACTTGAGACTGCTGATATTTAATTGCTCAAAGAACATTTCATGGAAAATTTGGCACAACAGGAAAACTGCCAGTGGGCTCTGATTAATCCTGGACAAACTGTTTAAGTGTGTTGCAAGATGTGTGTCATGTCTACAAGCCCCAGCTTGTTGTCCTCTGCTGTAACAACAAAAACATTCTGTAATTATACTTTTAATTTGGTTTTTTTTTTTCCTTTAAAACAGTAAATTGGAACACAAATTTTGTGTCCTTTTCTGTAAGAGTGTCTTAGTTCCCAGGTAACTCCCCTGGAGGGAGTTATAAAATATATATATATAAAAAAATATGATAATAAGAGCATTGTAATAATTGTAATTAGAAGCAAAAGTTAGAACTTAATTTAGATTTTTTTCCCAGCTTTTTTCTCTGTTTCCTTATTTTGCTGGGCAGGAGTTTTAAGGGATGTGTGGAAGCAGGAACCTTCCAAACTGCAGCTTTGCACCTGTACTTGGAGATCTTTGTCACATGAAATTATGGGAGAATGTGGTGCTGTAATTGTGCCACCAGTTCCTTCTAAGCCATGTCAGAGGGTTTAGGTCATATAATCACTGAAAATTATATGCTACAGTGATGCTTTGAATGAAAAAGTAGTTTCCTTTTTATTTTAATATAAAGAAGTAAAAATAAGAGGAAAATAAAACTTGTCAAAAGCATTTTAAAGCTCTTTTTCGTTTAGAGCGAAAAGATTCAGTTCAGGGAAACTGAAAAGGGGCAAACAATCACTTAATAAAATTGAGTAGATTTGCCTTTGAAGTGTAATTTTGTGTATAAATGGAACATGCTTTTGAAGGTGTTGGCCATCCTGTGAAAATGTGTTACTTGAGGAGCTCTTTTCCAGTTTCTCAACAGAAGTGATCTCTGTGGCACTGATGGCCAAACACTCTGAAGTGGTTAAATACATGTGCTGGATGCTTGACATTTTTAAACAAGGAGGAGTTTAAAAATTAAAATATTCGTGTTCTGCTTCCCAGTCAGAGCTACCTACTTGTAAATTTGGCTCTTTGCTTTCCCTGTCTTCACCCCCTCCCCGAGTTAACGTATTGTAATTTATGCCACACTCCTGGCACACAGTTGCTCTTTCTTTGCTGCCACTCTGAGCTGCTCCAGGGATTTGCTGATGTCATGAAACAGGGAACGTGCAGCTCGGATGAATTACGACATTGAAGTCATTCCAAGGCCATCTGCCTGCTGGAGCCAAATGTAATTAATGTTGTAAACTCTTCTGTACAATATCTGATCTGAAAATTGGAACCACGCAAGGAAGAGGAGCAGTGGCACACAACTACACACTTCCAGTATATGTATTTGTGTACATGGGGGTTTTACACCGTCCTTTGTGGGAATTTCATGGCTTTTTTTCCTCTTTGTCCCCCAGCTTAAGGTTTGTCAGTGGAAGCAGAGATGGAACAGCAAGGATCTGGCACTACCATCAGCATGATTGGAAGAGTGTGGTCCTGGATATGGCTACTAAAATGACAGGGTAAAGCAAACCAAGCAGAACACACCTCGTGGCCACATTTACATGCAAACTAAATCCTCCATCCTATCGAAAACTGTTTATTTACTGCTATTTTGAATTAATTTCTGTGCATTTTTTTTATTGACAGTGCTGTGGCTCTGCCTGTTAATTTACAGGCAGTTAATTAGCCCACCAAAGAAAATATTAATACATTGGTGGTTCCCTACCTAATACTTGGGGAATATTTAGTATTTTACATATGTAGTAAGAATGTCAAACAGTTTATGTCACAAAAAGAGGTTTTAGTAGAACCCCATTGATCACATGCTAGTAAACATATATATATCCAGAATGTTTCTTAACATTCTATTTCTTCCTTAATTTTCCAAGTAAGAGGTGAAATGTGGTGTTTTGGTTCTCAGGTTCAATTAGGGTTTTGAGTTTTCCTTTTTGAGATCCTCAAGTGACTTCTGTAAGTGCCTTGTAATTGGATATGCACAACAACAGAGAGCAGAAACCCATTAGGCATTTGCTTGGCAGAATTCTCTGCTTCATATGGTTACATTTGCAGTGTTTGCTGTCAGAGGTGTGATTTGGATTTATTTAATAGATTCTTGCTCTTTGTGGAGTTACTGATATTGATGACTGATAAAAATGCCTTGTAGGAAAAAGCTTAATAGATCTGAAGAGCTTGGAAGGAAAAATTGGGGTAGGTGAGGGTGGTGGCTTCAGAACAGAGGAGAAAACGTCCTTTTTAAGGACACAGAGACCTATAAATCTCAGTGGCACTGAATATTTCCTGTATCCTGTTTATGCCACCACAGAGCCATCCTTCTTTCTCCTGCCTCAGCCAGAGTCACAGTCACATCCATCCTCCCTGAATTCCATAGTGAATTAGCACTGGGAGATGTTTCCATAGGCAGTCACTGATTTATTCCTTTTTAACTTATTGATTTCCGTAGAAACAATGTGGCATCTGGGGAGGACAAGGTGACTAAGCTGAAGGTCACCATGGTGGCCTGGGATCGATACGATGCCACCGTCATCACTGCAGTCAACAACTTCCTTCTCAAAGTGTGGAACTCGTCCACAGGGCAGCTTCTCCACAGCTTATCCGTGAGTAACATAACAGGGGGGAATCCCAAATGGATGTAGTTCAGCTCTGAGACTGATTTGAGGCTAAACTGCGTCATCATTCCCCCTGAGGAGGAGTGTTTGGCCTTGGAAGTCTCCAGCTGTGCCCTGCCTGTTGGGAGGAGGGTGTATCCTGGGGAAGGGAGCTGATGGCCAAACTCCTGGTGATTTCTGGCTGGCAAGGAGCCCTTTGAAGGCTCCATTTGTGCCCTGATTTCTCCTTCTTCCCCATTCAACCAAGGGGTGTTGTCCAACACTGAGCTGCTCCCTGATCTGACGTGTCCTCACACTATACCAACACACCTGGAGGTACCACATGGAGAAACACAAGTTCCTTTCACCCCCTGCTGTCGTTGTAGGGTCATGATGATGAAGTGTTTGTTCTGGAGGCTCATCCCTTTGACCAAAGGATTGTGCTTTCGGCGGGCCACGATGGGAATATTTTTGTTTGGGATATAGACAAAGGAACAAAAATTCGCAATTACTTCAACATGGTAAGAAGGATGAGGGAGTTTTATTTTCATATTTGTTTAAAACTGGTCTTGAGACGAAAGCAGATTTCACTGTACACCTACAGAGCCAGCACAGGTCTGGGATTTTCGGCGTGGGCTTGCCCGGTGTCTGCCATTGAGATAAAACACAGATTTCCAGGGGGTTGTTTCAGAACATGCATTTAAAAAGTTGTGCTGAAATTTCAGAACAAAGAGAAAATGTGAAGTTTTACAGCATTGTTCAGTTTAACTTTAATACACAAAAGTGCAAATCAGTCTTTGAGTGAGGTGAGAAGTTACAGAATGAGTGTGAAACACGTGTTTCAGGTGAAATGTTTGTAAAAAAAACTCTTACAGTGAATATATGGTTGTGAGGGGAATGTTCTGTGCTTGATCCAGATTGAGGGCCAAGGCCACGGAGCTGTTTTTGATTGCAAGTTCTCACCAGATGGGCAGCATTTTGCCTGCACAGACTCTCATGGACATCTGCTACTATTTGGTTTTGGATGCAATAAATATTATGAGAAGGTGGGTTGAATGAATTTTAAACTCTTCCCTGTCTTGACCTGATTTTGTCTCAGAAGTGTTCGTGTTACAATTTCTTCCCTCACCCTGCCCCACACAAAATAATAATTAGATCACGAAGCAGTTGCTTTTTACCTAAATCAAAAAGATTTAGACAAGAGAATCTTAGGCAGGGGAACAAAGCATTACCTTCTCTCTGTTCACCTCTTTTGGCCTATTTTACTCTTGAGTTTCTGCACCAGGCCTTGGTAATAAACCACATTTGTGGAGGAATCTGTTCTCTGTCACAACATTCCTGCTGCTGCTCCTGAGTGCAGGAGTTGTGGTTTATGGGTATGGAGCAATTCCAGAGCAGCCAGACAGCTGCAAATGGCCATTGATTCATCCCCTAAATTGCTTTTCTTTTCAGATTCCAGATCAGATGTTCTTCCATACGGATTACAGGCCTCTGATCCGCGATGCCAATAACTACGTGTTGGATGAACAGACCCAACAGGCTCCGCATCTGATGCCTCCTCCATTCCTGGTGGATGTTGATGGAAATCCTCATCCCACGAGATTCCAGCGCCTGGTCCCAGGGAGGGAGAATTGCAAGGATGAGCAGCTCATTCCTCAGCTGGGATATGTAGCTAATGGTATTGTGTCTGAACCTCCTGAATAATACACGTGTGGCACAGGATTGAGCAGCAGCTCTGGGGGGTGGTGATGGAAGGATTTATAAATTAATGGTTTAAATTCAGTAGAGAGGTAGAAGAGGAGATAGAGGGAGTTTGTGGCATGAAGGAAGTGTCTGGAATCCACTTGACTGGAAACAAGAACATTCCACAATCTGTGGGCTTCTCCCAGATATGGCACATGCTTAAAGCATTGTCCCATTAACCTCAGTGCAACTCCCTATGTGAGGAAGGAACCAGGAAGGTGAGAAAGACATGTTAAAAACAGCTTTTGTTTTTTAAGACAGGGGTTTTCTTTCTTGCAGACATAAATTTTTGCAAAATGCCATTCTCCAGAAAAGACCTTCCATTATTACCCACTGAAACATAATTTCTTTTCTGCTGGTTCTAAGGGTTTGTGTTTATGTTTCACATGTGCTCTGGAGTTTCAGGTTTTTATTGTAGCTTCTCTTCTAAACTTTGCCTCCATTTATTCCATGAGAGCAGAAATCCAGCTGGTGATCAGATGTTCTGCAGGGCAGACCAATAGTAGTGCAGAGTTTTAAATGGGATTGTTTCTGTGGTGTTTAGTAAAACAGAAATCATTTTATAAGAGCGATTAATTTATAACAGAAATTAATCATTTCGTATTTGTGGCTTTGTTCTTGCCAAGGTGATGGTGAAGTAGTTGAGCAAGTCATTGGGCAGCAAACAAATGACCAGGATGAGAGCATCCTTGATGGAATGATCAGGGAGCTCCAGAGGGAACAAGATCTGAGACTAATCAATGAAGGAGAAACCCCTCCAAACCCTCCACTCAACAGATCCCTCTCTGTCAATGGAGGTCAGTGTCCTGCCTTGTCTCCAGCAGTTCTTTCCTTAATCACAGAAGGTACTGATCAAAATGTGTTCATGTGTCTTGGAGGATGCTTTTCTCTCCTGTTTGTACCCCTTGTTAACCTGTGGGGAGCAGTTGGATGTTCTCTGGATTCCAACAGAGAAATTAAAAGTTCAAGGTGCAGCTGAGGGCACAGAGTGTCTGACTGGGCTGTATCTGATTACCTGAAGCTATTAGACTGGAACTATTCCTGTTATAAACCATTTTCCTGAAAAATAAACGTAAAATTCACTGTATTATCTTGATATCACTGCAGAGATGATACTTCCTAACTGCATAATGTCAAAATAACAGCATATAATTAGAGGTTGTCAGTGAATAGTGTTGTGACAGACTAATGGTTTCCTGCTGCAGCGGAAGGCTGAGCATCAGTGGTAATAAAATAAACATGTTGCTCTGCCTTAGTGTTTCCTTAGAAAGCTTGAGATTATTCTCCTGGTAAATGTTCTGCTACTGTGATTTTATTTTTAATACACCAAGTGATTAAAAATTTAAACGTAACTCAGTCAGATGTGAAGAGCTGAGTGAGTGCAGCTGATGGAAGGGGAGCAGATGCTGAGGACCTGAGCTGCAAGTCATCCTGAGCTCTGGGAAATCTACAGCTGCTAATAAATTAGTTCTAGGTTAAGTGACTGATTACACATGTTTGAAGTAGGTTTCCTACAAAAGCTCATTAGGATTTGGACTTGCTTGTGTTGAAATTCAAGAAGGAATAGGAAAAATATGAGTGAAAAATGCTGAAAATAAACTTTTGCTTTCCTCTAAATTGGTATGTCAGGAAGGGTGTCTAGAAGGCACCTTCAACTCACATGCAGTCTTTTCTGCATCATAGGATAGGCTGATGTGTTGTGCAGTCCCAGCTCCCATTTTATTTGTGTGTCCCTGTAGTTGTACAAAGGAATTTCCAGGTATGAATGGTATGGAAATTAAAGCAGTTCCCTTCTAGAACTTGCACTGAGCACTGGCTTTGCTACATGATCACCCAGTTGATGTAAGCTAATTAGAGTATGTATAAAGCCTTTAAATAGCCAAATATTTTTATGCAGGTTTGCACAACCATAAATTGCAGTATTTTCATGTGGTTGACCATATTTAAGCATGTGGGAGTCGTGCTGGTGAGCTAAACAAGAACAATGATGGCAGTGATTCCATTATTAGCAGCCTTTTTGTGTCTCTTTGCTGCCTAAAGTGTGTGTTTTCACTGTGCTGGGCCACCTGATGAGAAGGCCAGAGCAGAGCAGTGCCTGTGGCACAGCAAATAAGACTTAAAACCACAGAACAAATGGAGATGATATAACAGAAAACTTAAACCTTGCAGCAGTCTGTTATTTTAGATGTCAACCTTGTGTCTTCTTCCACAGAATTTGAGATTGATGATTTTAGAGCCTTTAAGCAGTTGAAAGACTTTAATTTGAAGTTCACTTAAGCACCCTTAAAACTTTCCTCATGAATTACATTCTCTGTGTGCCTCAGGTATCTCTGAGGCACCTCAAGGCAGCAGCAAACATGTCCCTAAGACCAGCACGCACAAGTGTTCACCTGGAGCAAAAGAAAAGCCTCTTCACGTAGAATAAGTGTTGATTATTGCCAAAAAAAGAATCTTTGTGTGGTCCTTAAGCTTTAAATGTTAGATTAGATCCTGGGAAGGAATCCCTCCCTGTGAGGGTGATGAGGCCCTGGCACAGAGAAGCCGTGGCTGCCCCATCCCTGGCAGTGTCCAAGGCCATGTTGGAGCACCCTGGGCTAGTGGAAGGTGTCAGGGAGGTGGAACAGGATGAGCTTTAAGCTCCCTTCCAGCCCAGCCACAACTGCATGATTCCACTGACGGTTTATGGAAGTGAAGAGGTTGTTTTTGCCTCCCTCAGCCCTTCGCAGCCCGGCCCTGGACGTGGCCTCCCCGCCGAACGTGGGGCTGCGGCGGAGCGGGCAGATCGAGGGCGTGCGGCAGATGCACCACAACGCGCCCCGCAGCCAGATGGCCACCGAGAGGGACCTCATGGCCTGGAGCAGGAGGGTGGTGGTCAATGAGCTCCCTCCAGGCGTCAGCAAGTAAGATGCTAAGTGAACCAGAGGGGGGGGAGGGAATCTCATTGTATAATATTTAATAATTAATCAGTCCCCTTGAAGTGATTTTTCAGAAGTGCATTGGCTTTGGGAGATGGTTGATTGGGTTGTTTGGAATATTAGGATTGGGGTGGGGAGTTGAGAATAATAATTCCTTCTTTTCACAATTCAGTCTTTCTTCAGTAGTTCAAATACCACATTTCCTCGAAGTTTTATTTAAAAAAAAAAAAATCCTGTGAAAATAATTTTAATTCATTCCAGTCTACTTGGAAATAATTATGGATGCTCAGCTAAGGAGTTGGCTTCCTTAAATTGTGATTGCAGGAGTGATGCTGCTTGTGCACAGATTCCTTATAGCAACAGAACAAGTATTTCTATGTGTGTATTAATGAGACTGTCGAGTTATATGAGGATTTACTGAATAAAAGGGATGTTTCTTATGCATAATTAGGGTCCAGGAAGAATGTCGAGCTGCCAAAGGTGAAATAGAAATTAGTTTGTACACTGTTGAAAAGAAGAGAAAGCCGTCCCACACCTTACAACGGGTGAGTTGTAGCACTAAAAGAAACAAAAAAACCAAACCAATTTTATTAAATTATTTAGAAGATCGATACTCCTAATTGTTCCTCTGGCTCTGTCTTCCTTCTGTAACTGTGATTTGTCTGTCCATAATATGCAAATAGTGGTAAATCTTTATCCTTGAGGCTTCAGTGGTGGGAAGATGCTGGAAAAGAAAAAGAACACTTGTGGAAAATGGTGATGGTCCTGTGCAGGGCTGGGGGTTGGACTTGATGACCTGTGTGGGTCCCTTCCCACTCAGCATATCCTGTGATTCTGTGGAAATAGAGAAACTTTAGAGGTGCCACACTTTTAGAAGTGGCTGGAATTACCTTACGCAGAGATTTCAGGAACTTTATAGAAAAAATTATATTTTCCCTAACTTCCTTTCTACTTCATAAAGTAGAATTGGTTTTGAACCAAAAACCACGTTTGGAAGTGCCCTAAAACGAGCCACGATGCCTCCAAGAATCCTACAGCAATTTCCTGTTTGTAATCGGAATACAACATTCAGTCACATTAACAAGGCGTCTTCTAAGTGTGTAACTCACCCTTAACTCCCGGATCCTGTGCTGTTTGTCCCCTTGGCAGAGCGAATTCCAGGCTGGCAGCGGCAGATCCCTGCGCAGGAACCAGCGGAGGCGGCAGCACGCCTACCAGACCCGCTCCACCATCGAGCACAGCCCGCAGGGAGCCACCCACCACCCCTGTGCCCGCCAGCAATCCGACAGCTCCTCTGAGGTCTGACCCCCCAGACACCCCCCAACAGCCTCCCTGCTCCCAAATCTCCCAGCACAGCAGCACTCCCGAGTTTCCCTGTGCAGGGACAAGCACTCGGCTCGTTGATTCCCTGGGATCTGGGGCCTGTTGGTCTGGGAGGGTGAAGGATCTTTCCCCTCAGTGCCAGTACAGTGTTCAAAAGGAGCTCGAGACAGCTCATGTATTTTTGGAAACCCAAAACGTTTTTAAGTAAATTTAACTGGGTTGTGTTAAACCGCTTGCTATTTTGGGATCTCACAGAGCACGTGGATTTGGGGCAGGGCTTTGATTTCGTTTTGCAGTGCTTTGATTTCAGCTGCATCTGTGGACTGCTGTGGAAAGAGATGGAGTATTGGTATTAATCATTGATATTGGCAAGGGAAGAACTTAAAATACCCCAGATTAAATATAACTTGTTGTCCTTTGGGAAGAGGCTGAACATTGTTGCTTTGTAGATGCACTGTATGTACAGAATAGCTAAAAAAGTTGGGCATTTGGCAACTAAAATTTATTAACCAAACCCTTAAATAAGAACTCATGTTATGGTTCTGATAGAATTAAAATTCACATCTGTTTCTATAGGAGTTATAGCATATAATATTATTTATATTATGTTATATAACTATAAGGGACAAAAAGGACAAAGTATAATATTGATTACTACATAGAAAGAAGTTGTCTACTTAAGTAGGGATTACAAAATCATACAGTGTCATCCTAAGATACAGGAAGAAATTGTGCACCTACTTATTAAAGTCTAAACCAACCCTTAAATACAAAGTTTTCCTCAGGTGACACAACTTGCTTGCAAACAGGAATGACATATTTTACCCTCGGCCCCAAAGTGAAACCTTCTGTTTTTAACACAGGAAGATGAGACTGTTGGCACAAGTGATGCCTCCATGGATGATCCCGTGGCAGCCTGGCAAAGTGAAAGCAGTTCCAGGTACCTTTACTGGGCTCTGAATTGATAATACTGGTTTATTGTGGAATTTAATTAAGACACTTGTTGTTGTGATACTCAGAATTCATTTTGAAGACTGATTTCTGGTCCCCAGTTCTTCATGAAACATGTTGTGGGTTTTTTTGTTGTTTTTTTTTTTTTTCAGTCAAAAGCAGGTTTGAAAGACCATTTGTAAGAAAATATTGTCTTTAATTAAGAACTGCTCTAAAAAATCAAAGCCAGTTTGCCATGTAAATCCACACATGTATGTGTGTTACTTGGTATTCAAGAAGTGAAAACTGGATTTTTAGGGAAGTGCTGTGGTTTCCTATGTTTTTCAAGCATTTTTTTGCTGCTGGTTCTTCTGAAATCAGTCCATGAATCAGCAAGATGATGAGTATGAAAATTGCTATCAGCCATAGCTGCAGTTTTACTGGGAGTTTCAAACTGATAAAACAATTTGCTGAAATCACAAATTCTCTAAATTCATGTGATAATAAAATTCTATGCTAATCCTGACGTCTGCTCCACAGGAGCACAGGTTGAATGTTTGGGCCCTTTCAGTCCATTGTGTGAAAACTGAAGTTTTCTGTTCTCTTTCTTACAACTTTTTCTTATCTCCCAGTGATTCATCAAGTGAATACTCAGACTGGACAGCAGATGCTGGAATTAATCTCCAGCCTCCAAAGAGACAAACCAGGCAGGCAGCTCGGAAAATCTGTAGTAGTTCTGAAGATGAAAATATGAAGGGAACAAAAGGACTGGAGCCAAAGCGAAGGAAACTTAAACAGCCTAGAAAAAAGGTTGGCATTTGTAATATTTTAGTGTCTGGGTTTTTTTAAATTACTATGGATCTGTATTGTAACTACATTGCCAGGTTTCTTTTTCCTGGTATTTTTTTGTTTTTAAAGAGCTGTTTAGAAGATTTATAAAAGTACAATCTCTTTATTTTATTTTTTATTATCATAGAATCACAGGCTGATTTGGGCTGGAAGGGACCTTAAAGTCCACCCTTGTTCCATGGGCATTTTGATGAATTTATGAATGTTTTAATTTTCTATTATATTTATAATAGACATGTCTTATTCCCTACTATTTAGAGGAGGTTTGGGAAGGCTGACATTCCAGTATTTCCTTGGCTTTATATCTCTTATGTGCAGTAACTGCCGTGTGGTCAGTTTTTCATGTGTTCTGCCAAAGTAATTAATTGTATTCTGAATATTTTAGTAATTGCATTCTAAATATTACATTAAAGGTGTTCTAAATACTGTATTAATTGTATTCTAAATATAATAATATTTCAGAAGCCCAGTGGCCTGCTGTCCCTGGAAGGGGAGCCCAGTGAGGAATGGCTTGCTCCTCAGTGGATCCTGGACACCATTCCCCGGCGCTCCCCGTTCGTCCCACAGATGGGAGATGAGGTAGTGCCTGCAGCAATTCCCACATTCCACAGGGGCTGGAGAGCTTGGGATGGTCAGGACTATATATCCAGCAGTGAATTGTGCCCCAAACCAGGCTGAATTGGGATAATTCTCAGGCAGTTTGTTGTTTGGAGATAGTCCTGCATCTCTTTTTCTGCTTTGGTGACTGGGGAGTAGCAGGAAGAGCTGGTTGTTCATCCTCACCTGCCATTTCTTCATTATCCCAATTATAAAGCACAGAGAAAGTGCCAATTTGGGAGGCTGATAGAAGTATTTTTAACTAGAAGAGTGTTTTATAATGAAATAAATAAGTGGGCAGTAAGTTCTCATCCCTGAGGCCTTGTGTGTTCATAGAAATTTTAGAACGAATGGGAAGAGAGCTCTCAGTGAAATAACATTCTCTTTTTTTCTCTCTTTTCTCTTTTTTCCCTTTTAAGATCATATACTTTAGGCAAGGCCATGAAGCTTACGTGAGGGCAGTAAGGAAAGCCAAAATTTACAGTATTAACATGCAAAAACAACCATGGAACAAAATGGAACTCAGGGTAAGTTGAAGAAACACTTCAAAGAGCTGAGTGTCTCTGTAATGTTAAACTGACACAAAAAACCAGCATGGAAAATATGAAGCCAGAATTACTTTAAAATGTTAATATCAAAGTTTACATTGTAAATATTAAGTCTTTACATCTCTTCAGTTCCTGATTTTGGACTTGGTTCTCAGGAGTCACTTTCCACAGATATTTTCATTTAACACTAATTCATTCAGAACCCACCACTCCAAAGCTGTTTATAGTTCTCTCACAGCTCTACAATGACCTGAACATTTGAGTTCTAGTTCTTGTTTTTAATGCTGTGGTAAGAAGGAAAAAATTATGGTGTAAACACCTAAATGTGTGTACAAGCTCTTTTAAACACTGGATCTTGCTTTGAACCAGAGTCCTCTAATACTTAATCCACAGTGTTGCCATATTTTTTCCCACCTTACTCCCAATTTTATATCAAAAAGGAGTCCATACATGTGCTAATTTTCATACATGTGTATGCCAGTGGTTCTATTATGTGAAAATGATTGCTTAACTGGAACATTACCCAGTTACTAGGCCGAAGTGTTCAGTGATTCCAGCTGTAATTTTCCAGGGCATCATCAGCTTGTAAGGAAAAGGAAACAGCATTTGCACTTAGGATAGAGTTTGACAGGATGTGAACATAAAGGCTATTGTGGAACTTCTGTGTTAAGAGGAAGAATTTCCTTTTCCCGCCCCTATACAAGAGTGAGGGGCCCTGGATTAGGCCAGGGATAAACTTTGGTGCCATCAGTGTGGTTAAAACCAGAGTGGGTTTGTTCCTTAGAACCTTCTTAAGTAATTTGTGGGAATCTTATTCACGAATCTACCAAAGGAATGAGCATCTTACACCTTCCTTGTTGTTGTTTTTAAGGTGTCAGTGATTGATTTTTAGTATTTGGAAAATTAAAATTTATGGGTGAAATTGCCTGGGCTGTAGAGTAGAAACACTGGTTTATATTAATATGTTTCATCCCTTAAAGTGGATGTTTTTGTGGTCAGCAAGTTAAAATAATGCTGTTCCATATTTACTGATAAACAGGAACAAGAATTTGTGAAGACTGTAGGGATTAAATACGAAGTTGGGCCTCCCACGCTCTGCTGCTTGAAGCTTGCATTCCTGGATCCAATCACGGGCAAAATGACAGGAGAATCCTTCTCCATAAAGTAAGTCACTGGAACGCTGATGACACCCTTCAAGAGATTTTTTTGGGGTTTTTTTTTTTGCAGTGTAGAAGCTTCTCCCTCCTCCTCCTTCCAAATGTGTGGAATTTGGGGACTGTGTTGTGCACGTGGAATTTTATTTCTGGGTAGTAGTAACTTTCTTTGTCTCATTTCCTGAAGGTACCATGATATGCCAGATGTTATTGACTTCCTTGTGCTGCACCAGTTTTATAATGAAGCCAAAGAAAGGAACTGGCAAATAGGTGACTCCTTGTTTTTTGGGTTTTTTTCCTCACTTCCATATGTTTTCTGCACCATTTCTGCAGCTGTTTAATGGGATACAGGGTCTTCATTACATCATGTAAAGGACTATACACAGGTGATATTATGGAAGGGACCCCAAAAGGATCATCAAATCCAACCCTTAGCCCTGCCCGGGACCTTTCCCAAGAGTCACACCATGATATTATAGAGGTCGTTGGAAACTTCTGATTTTTGCTGCAATTCCTGTACCAGAAAAAAAAAATACATAAGAGAAACTGTCCTCAAACCTGTGAGAGCAGGAGAATTTGCTGATCTGTGGTGATTTGAGGCATGGAATCAGCTGTGGGTAATTCCTAGAGTTGTCCAAGGCCTCCCTTTAGGATTCCATTCCTTTAGTGCAAAGTGTAAAAACTGAAGTAGTGCATTCATGAAAGATGGAGTTGAATCTCTAAAAAGAAATATTTAATAATTATTCATGTTGGTTCTTGTGCTGAATGGAATATTTTTGCCTTCCAGGGGATAGATTTCGCAGTATAATAGATGATGCTTGGTGGTTTGGAACTGTGGAGAGTCAGCAGCCTTTCCAGGCAGAGTATCCTGATAGTTCCTTCCAGTGCTACAGTGTCCAGTGAGTTTTTACATGTTTTACATCCAACTATAATGTGTACCTCGGGCACCAGCATCTCTTTTTCCATTTAAATACATAACCAGCCATTTGATTTACCTGTTTAGTTCTGAATTTATTCCTAAAGCAACACTTCTGGTGTAAACAGCAGTGCAGTGACCTATATAGGGGATACAAGAGGAAGATAAGGAGTTGGAATGTCATCAGTGACAGGTCTTGTTCCTAACAGGGATGACCTTCGTGGTGTAAATCTGATAAAGAAAAGGTGCATTGTTATATTCAGCTCTAACTTGTGCATTTTGGATGTATTGTTTTCAATAGCTGGGACAATAATGAAAGAGAGAGGATGAGTCCATGGGACATGGAACCGATCCCAGAAGGAAGTAAGTGTTGCACTCACGTCCCTGCACAAAGTAAGCAGCTTTTCCCACTGCTGGGACTCACTGCCTGTGGAATTCTCCCTTTCCAGCTGCCTATCCAGAGGAGGTTGGTGCTGGAGTTCCTGTGACTCCAGAGGAGCTGACAGCTCTTCTCTACAAACCCCAGGAAGGAGAATGGGGGGCCCATTCCAGAGATGAAGAATGTGAACGAGTGATCCGGGGGATTGAGCAGCTTCTTTCCCTTGGTATGGTTGGAGAGAAGGGGTGGAAGGATTAAGAATATCAGTATATTAATATCAGAATATCATGTGGTGGCACAGGACTGAAGAGTAGGTGGGATGGAGTGTTGGGAGTTGGTGGTGGAGTATTTGAAATGTAAACTAAATTAGTGAAAAGAGCCTTTTAAATTTCATGTTTCAATTTCCTTTTAAGTTATATTCCTTTTTTTTCCTGGGGTTCACCTGATTTCTTTCAATGGGGGTTCTCAGTGGGTCATATCGAAATGTGAATGAGCAAAACATTGAATTAAACCCCTCAAAACCAACCAACAAATCCTCACTGAACGTCCTCACCGACAAATCCCTTGTAAATGATTTGTAGCCCCTTAATAGCACACTATGATTTAATTTCTGCCTATATTTACACCCAGGGCGTGTCTGTATTCCTAATTTATATTACATGCTGTAGTATTCCTGTTGTAAGTGCATATGCATGTTCTTTCCAGTGGCACATTAGGCTGTTGACAGGCAAACCTCAGACGTGATTCTTAACCAAAAAGTGCTTTTTGAAGAGTGGTAACAGATGGCACAAGGGGAAGAACTGTACCCTTTGTGTAATGACACTTCCAGCCGTAGGTCTGGGTTGCTTTTGCTGAATTCTTAGAAAGAAAACCCAGAAAGCCTTAAAAGAAATCCTGATACCGTGTAACATCTCGTTGAGGCATCTGAAGGATTTTGCTCTTTTGTCTTGCAGACATTTCCAATCCCTTTGCAGTCCCAGTGGACCTTAGTGCCTATCCCATGTATTGCACTGTCGTTGCTTATCCAACTGACCTCACCACGATCAGGAGGAGACTTGAAAACAGGTTTTATAGGTCAGTTGGCTTCCGATTTGTTTCTAATCTACATTTATTACAGCCCCATGGAGAACAATCTCGAGCTGAATAGTCTGTAATGCCCCTCCAGCAATGTGAGCAACAGCGTAAGATCAGATTCTGTTTGGCCTTGGGCAAAGTGAGTCTTCCTGAATAATAAATTCCTTTTGGTTGTCAAGGCAAAAGCTGGTATGGCTGGATCTGGAGTGTTTGTTTAACGTCCTGAGCCTCGCTCTGTGGTGGGAGGCAGAGCATATTTGCTTTGTTTCCATCCCTGCTGCCTTTGAACCAGAGGTTTTGCTGGTGTTGCAGTTGCCAGAAGTGGGCTAAATGCTGTAAAGTAGGAAATCTCAGCTTTTCCAGTCAACTTGGGAATAAATAACATCCTGTTCTTCTTTCCCCTCTGAGGACCACCTGTTTCGCCTCGCTCTGAATTCCCAATTCCTCTTTTTACTGAAGAATCCTACTGATCTCAGAAGGAGAACAATCCACACTTTTTTCTCCATCCCATTTCTTTAATTTTTCTGTATTTTTAGGAGAATCTCTGCACTGATGTGGGAGGTCAGATACATTGAACACAATGCCAGGACCTTCAACGAGCCAGACAGCCCCATAGTCAAAGCAGCCAAAATTGTGACAGACGTCCTACTGCACTTCATTGGGTAGGTTTGGACTTCACAGCCCCCACAGCTTTGAGTTCCTGACAGATTTGATTGTGTATCTTGGTTTTTGTCACTGTCCTGCAGAGACCAGAGCTGTACTGATATCTTAGAGATCTACAACAAGGTGAAAGCAGAAGACCTGAGCAGCACTGATGAAGAAGAGGAGGTAAGATCATTTTCCTGCCTTCTGAAGTTCAACACGTGCAAGAAATCTGCTTCGTGTTGAGTCTTTATTTTCTGGGTAATTGCACCGAGTTTTTTGAGATCAGCCTGTTCGGGCTCACCTGGGACAATAAGCTCTCTTAAGTAGTTAAAAATGATTCTTGGAACTGCCTGTCTTTAATCTGCTCCCAGTACATGGTGTTTTGTTGTGTGGGGAAGGATGAGTGATTAGGGGACTGAGAAGTGGAGCTGTTACTCAGTCAGAGGATGACAACTCCCCATTGCCAGCGAGGCAGCAGAGATGGTTTTCCTGTGTAATTCTGTGTCATTTCCCATCCGTTGTTCCCTGGAGTGAAATGACAGGTAGAGCCCAGGTTAGATATCACTTCCTTGACTTTTTCTCCCTCCTTGCACCTTCTGCCCTTCAATGCAGTCTGAAATGTGCTGTAGTTCCTGCTGCAAAGTGACCTGTGACAACCTAAATCACTCAGGGTTTACTTTTTCAGTGTTACTTTCTAATTCATGAGGTAGTATAAGGTTTAGTGAGGAGGTTTCTTCCCTAAGACATTCTCCTTTGTGGCAAATTGGAAATACTGAAGTTAACACTTGATGCTGCCTGAGCACCTGTTTGCTTGGGGCTGGTGCTGCTGTCTTGGGTATGTGTTGAAATGGAAGTCTGTGCTACAATGAAATAATTTCATTATTTTATAAAACTGAAGTTGGGATAACACCATCTGTTTCTACAGACTATTAAAAAAGTATTTTGAAGAAAGTGAGAGACTTCCATGGTGAAACAGCAGACCCTCCTTTTCCAACTCAACCTTCTACTCTCAGTTTTGAATCTCAGAAGTGACCAAAATTCCCCCTATATCACCCTCCTCTCTCCAGCCTTCCAAAGAGCTGGTTTATAATATGTTTTGCTTTATAATATTTTAAAAGTTTAAATATTTTTTTAGATATTAGGAAGGAATCCTTCCCTGGGAGGGTGGGGAGGCCCTGGCACAGGTTGCCCAGAGAAGCTGTGGCTGCCCCTGAATCCGTGGAAGCGTCCCAGGCCAGGTTGGATGGAGCAGTTTGGGATAGTGGAGTCCTCTCAAAAACTGTTTATATTTAATTACTGGTAAAAGCTGTGTACAAAGGAATTTTTGTTGTAATTCCTAAATCCAGGTTCTGAAAAGAATATTACAGCCAGCTGATGTAAGTAAAGCACTTCATGAAACCTGAGTAAACTCAGTGCAGCTGCTCAGAGCATGACAACTGAGGCAGGGGAATGAAGCTCTGCGAGGCAGCAGCTTAGCTGAGTCTTCAGGACTGAAAATCAGCCATTCCTATTTCTCACATGTTTTTATATATCACTTTTTATGGAAGCAAACTTGGAAAAAGTATGAGACAGCTTAAAATCAGGTGGATCGAGTTACGTAAATTCTAGTTTGAAATTAGTTCCTGCTTTTCTTGAGCCATTCATTGCATTTGAGTAGTTTAAAATGGTTGTTGTTGTTGTTGGCTGGGTTTTTAACCCTTTTTCCATGGCTGAGGGTCCATCCAAGGCCCTGTGTGTGATCATTCCCTTTGCCTTTAGGTGGCAGAAGTAGATGTGGATTCAGACGCTCCAGGAACTTCCTCTGGGAAAAGAAGAGTGAGTAAAACTTCTGCTTTGGTCTTTTGGTTTTTTTTAATATTAGACTTGAAAAACATCAACAACAGTCAAGTTTAGATAAAACTGATAAAAATAGCGAGGCTGGGGCTGAAATATTGCAATTCCTCATGGGTTTGAGTGTTACATAGGACCAGAAAAGCCAAATTTTGGGCCAAGAGCTTTGCTTGAATCTTCCTGGATTTCTGATTTAAGTTGTGGAGATCTTTGAATCAGAACGCTGGGCAATTAATAGGAAATGGAAGGGGCAAATCAGAATTTCCTGATAAATTTCTGGAATTCCTCTTTCCCCACAGGTGAGACGACGAGTGAAGAGGCAGCCCATGAAGGCCAGTCCTGATGCCTGGAAGGAGCAGTGCCAGCAGCTGCTGAACCTGATTTATGAACGGGAGGACTCGGAGCCTTTCAGGCAGCCCGTTGATCTCTTCTCTTACCCTGTAAGTGCAGCTTCCACATCCAGAACGGTTCATCCTCTGGTAAAACATCCGTGCTGGGCATGGCTGTGCTCTCCTTTTATGAGCAGAGAATTATCTGCAGGAACTCTAAAGGAAAATAATTTCATGAGCTGCTGGATGAACACTGAGGAGCTTTTATTGCTGTAGGATTTGACAGCCTTTACTGTTTCCTTCAGCCTTTACTGTTTTCTTGTTCTTCCAGGATTATCGAGACATCGTAGACACTCCCATGGACTTCAGCACTGTGAAAGAAACCTTGGAAGCAGGAAACTACACCAGTCCCTTGGAATTCTACAAAGACATTCGTTTGATATTCTGCAACTCTAAGGCTTACACTCCTAATAAAAAGTCTCGTGTAAGTAATAAATTTTAATGCCCTTTTTCTCCACAAAGACCTCGGCCCTACATGAATAAAACACATGGAATAAGGTCTGAAGAGCAAAGCATTGCTTGGTGTAATAAAAATAACCAGTGTACATCAGTTCTGGGGCCTGTGCTGATAAATTTGCTTTGTTCTGCTCACCCAGATCACTTCAAACTTTCATTCTCATCTGAACTTTCTGAACTTGACACTCCTGAGATGTTGCAGCTGTTTCTTTAAATATTTGCAGCAGAAAACTGATCACAAGTTGCTTTTATTTTTTTTTCAATAATTTATTCCTGGAAACAAGGCTATCAGCTTGAAAACTGCATATTTATCTCTGTCCATCTTATCTACAAAAGGCTCCCTTTTAAATCTTGCTGTTAATGGAAATATGATGCAATATTTCTACTACCAGAGGAGATGAGATACTTATTTTTTTCTAGTTGACTTGTAACATTTGGCAGTACTTTTGCACACTGTTGCCTGTGTTTCTCAGGTGCTAATCCTGCCTTTTGCTGCTTGGACTTAGAGGCATAAAAAATGTATTGGATTGAAGCCCTAAGCAAGATATGGCAAGAGGGAAAAGGGAGATCAGAATGTTGGAATATAGATATTTATGCATGAACTAAAGTAAAATGACAACTGGTATGTGACTGACGTGTAAACATGGCTGTGTTTGATCTGTGTTCCTATGTCAGCATTTCCTAAGCTGTTAAATGATCAAATTACTCTAAAACTTTCAAGTGTTTTAATGATATTTATCCTCAAAAAAATCACAAGGTGACACCAGGATGAGATGCAATTTTACCACTGCTGGTGCAAAAATAGACTTAGAGTGGTCGGTGTCTTCATGGTATAAAAGCAGACAGAGTTTTGACCGTGTTTTCAGACATAAATTTGTAATAATTGCAATGGAGGAACAGCCAGGAGTGAACTGTGCCTGAGGCTACAGAGACAAGGCCTAGAGAGAGGGCAGGAAAAGGGTTTAAAGATTTTGTCATCTGGTTTACAGAAATTAGGAATGAGGACATTGTAGTTGGCTTCTGAGTGCTGCTGTGTAGGGGTGGAATAAAGACATTTCACCAGGGAATTAAAGGAAAAAACAAAGGTGAGGGCACAGCAAAATTCATTTGTTTTTCCCTTGGTATTCAAGTTATCTTATGGGTTGCTTCTTCCATGCTTTCTGGGGTTGACAAAGGAGGCTGTATTCCAGTAATTTAGATATCAAATTTCCTTTTACTCTCGAAATATTCTGTACTGGAAGTAAATCTTTTCATGAAAACACTTTTTTTCTGTTGTGAGAATAGAGAAGGAAATTATCTGCAAAGGACCTCGTATAGTGAAATGTCACCGTGAATTCTTCCTTTGTGCTACAAAGTCTGGACATCTTGCTGATTGCTTTTCTCGGTTGTTCTTCCAAGTTATTCAACTTCTGCTAAGTCTGACTGTGCTTTCTCACTCCAGATTTACAGCATGACCCTTCGACTCTCTGCCTTGTTTGAGAATCACATGAAAAACATCATCTCTGAGTACAAGGCAGCAATGCAGTGTCAGAAGAGGAGGAGGCCACGGTACCGAAAACGGCTGAGGAGCAGCAGCAGCTCCCCCTCAACCAGCAGAGCATCCAGGTAATGTGGGATAGAGGGACTGCCTGGCAGTGGCATTCCAGACAGCAAGAGTATTGCTCATTTCCTGCTGCAGCTGCTCTTTTGGGTGAGAAAATCATGTTCAAGTGTAGTTTGTGCATAATTCTGGTAAGTGAAAGACTGTGTGGTTACAATTACTCCCTCTGGAGGAAATGAAAGACCAACTGTCTCTTCACCTTTGTTTAGCTGAAAAAAGTGTTGTGTAACCCTGTATATCAGCCTTCTGTCTGATACATTATCTAAGTAAACTGAGTATTGGTTAAAAAAGGACATAAAGTCTTGTTCCTGCAAACTCATCTGCTTTAGCAGACACATGGTGGTGTAACTATTTTTAGTGTCATTACACCTGTGTAAGCACTGGGGAGAAGACATTTGTTTGGATAAATTCACTGCAAAATTCAAGGCATTTTGCAGGGGAAATTGGTTTTGTCTTTGAGTCTTTTGGCGCTGACAGTTTCATCTCTTTGGGGTGTTTGTGTTTTCAGCCCCAAAGGGAAGCAGAAGCAAATGAAGATTCAACCTAAACCCAACCAGAATACCTCACTGCCCCTGACCAGGACAAGCTCTTCAGTCTCATCTCATGGTGAGGAGGAATGTTCTAAAATACAACCCACTTGTATGTGCAGGTTGGATCTGATGTTCCTGAGGCACATGCTAAACACACCTGTGGAGGGAGCAAGTGGCAAGGTCACGGAAATGTGTTGTCTGTAGGTTGTTTTAGCTGAACTTGGCTGTTAGGAAGTTATGGGTGAGGATCAGGGAATTGGGAACCTTAGTGAGAATTAACCTAGTCACCAGAGCCTGGGCTTCCTGTACATGGGCTTCTCTCATTCAGCAATTATGGATAAATTAATCTTACTTTGGATTACACTAAAAGGAATCTGTCTCTTCATGGCTGCAGAGGCAGCTTGGTGAGATGAACCTGACTAGGGCTGTTAACTCAGGTGATACAAAACCTCCCCAGCCCTGTAAACAGAGGAGAAAAATCACTGTCACCTTGTGCTGTCCTGTGTAAAGTTTCAGATACAGCAGAAGAACCTCTGGGTTCAGCCACTGGTGAAGAGCTGGAGGGTCAACCATCTTCCTCAGGCTCCAATGCACAGAACCGAAGTGGAAATGCCATAGATCCAGGGAAAAGCAGGCCAGTCAGGAGTAAATCCACACCAGTGAAACAAGGTGAGAAATAATAAGATTCTGTTATTTGAATGCCTGGTTTCACTAGAAATGAAAGATGTTCCCTCTCTCTGATGTTGATGCTATTATTGCCTGAGTGTAGCATTGTATATACTCCCAAACCATACAAGAAAAGTGGAGTTTACTTTACTCCTCACAGTTCTGTGGTCTCTTGTCTGAGGTGTGGAATGCACATGATTCCTCATGAGATCCTTTAAAATCTCTCCAGGTGGAAAAGCTTGATTGCTCTTAAACTCCTGCAGTTCCTTCAGGAAAGAGCAAACAAACCAAAGGAATCCCCACCCCAAAACCTCCTTTTATTAATCAAGTTGAAACCAAAGATGAAAACAAGTTTCCCAAAAAATTGTAAATATTTTTGTCCTACTGAAGACAAAGTGGTTATGATTAGAAGGGAAGCACTGCTTGAAGCTGTGGTGAGTTGTCTTTGGGACATGTCACTCAGAGTTTGCACTGAGGTGGGCACTGCCTGAACCCTGGAGCCTTTCCCAAATCCACATCCCTGTGCTGTAGCCATGCTGGATGCTGCAGGTGAGCTCTTCCCGTGTTAAAGAAGATATTTAATCATCATTGTCAGATTCTTAACTCTCAAAACATGTAGGATTTTCGGTCCCATGCCAGCAAGATACTTCATGTATTTTTAAGTTAAGATGCCCAGCAATCCTAGTGAGCTTTCTTGGGTTATTGACTCTCCTGAATTATGCTTCCCTGGACTCAGCCTTTTGAGAACATGCATTTGAGGGGGAATAAATCCTTCTTGCAGAGTGTTATTTTCATTTATATAGCTTTGAAATGGATTTGAGAGGTTTTCCTGCCTTGGTAGGATTCACCAGATTGAGTTTTAGATGTTTGTGTCCAACCTTATCACTCTGGGCTCCTTTTATTGCCTGGATTTTCACTGAACTCTTAGTCAGGAGAGTCTGAAGTTGTTGCTTCCAGATAAGAACTATGTTTACTTTGATAAATTTTCCCCTTAGAGCACCTGTTTATGTCCCCAGCACGTGAAGGGTGAGTAGCTCCCAGTGGATCATCCCCAGAGCACGCCTGAGGCAGCTGAGGAGAATCCCAGAGGCAGCTGAGGCCAATCCCACTCTTTGTGTCCTGTTTGGCTCAGGTGTGATGCTGATGGGGCTTTTTTGTGTTTGCTCAGATCACTCTCCTGATGGACCCCTCACCAATGGAGATGGCAGAGAGCCTCGGGCAGGAGTCAAGAGGAAGTTACTGAGCGCGTCGGAGGAGGACGAGCACCTGGAGGAGGCGGAGGAGGAGGAGGAAAAGAAGAGAGAATTAAAGGAAAAGTCTGGCTTGTCTTCATCAGAAAGTGGGGAATCGGGATCCAGCTCCAGCTCCGAAAGCAGGAGTGGCTCTGATTCCGACTCGGAATCAACCTCCAGGACAGATCAGGATTACATTGACGGAGACCACGACTACAGCAAAGTGGTGCAATCCAAAAAGCCCAAACGGAAAATCAAACGGAAACTCAGCGCTGGGAAGCGGAATTGGCAGGGCAGGGGCACGGGGAGGAGGGGGAGATGGGGCAGGTGGGGGAGATGGAGCAGAGGGGGCAGAGGGGGGAGAGGTGGAAGAGGCTGCGGCAGAGGCAGAGGCGGCGGCAGGGGAGGAAGGAGAGGCCGCGGAGGCCGAGGGGCCTCGCGAGGAGCCACCAGAGCGAAACGCGCCCGGATCGCCGACGATGAGTTTGAGAACCTGTTCGGGGGCCAGTTTGGAGAGAACGTGTTTGGGGGGAGGTTCAGCCGCCCCCCTCGGATCAAAACCAGGAACGAGGGCAGGAGGACTGTCCTGTACAACGACGACTCCGACAACGACACCTTCGTGCACACCGAGGATCCGTTGAACCTCGGTACTTCCAGGTCAGGCAGGGTGCGGAAAATGACAGAAAAAGCCAGGGTCAGCCATCTCATGGGATGGAATTATTGACAGGTGGAAAACTTTGGAACAATTTTAAAAGAACTTCAATGGCCTTCTACTGCAGGGATTTTACCAGAAATTCTACCAAGCAAGTTGTGCGGGGACTCCACTCACGTTTTCACAGTGGTGCTTTTCCATCCTGTCAGTCTGTGTTTGTTTTAAAGCTTCAGCTCTCCACACTTCATTGGTCAAAACAAGCCTTAGTCATTAGGCCTTAAATTACAGAAATTCTTCCCCACACACTACGAGTTCATCACATTAAAGAGGCTTCCAGCTTCTCAGTAAGAACATGACATTTTTGAGTCACGCTTATGAATTCTCTCCCTCGTTTTGTTTTTGTATTATAGAAATAGCACCTTCTTACAGAGTTTTTATGTGGTTTCTGCCATAAATCCTTAGACACAGTAATAATTATAACTTTTGCACAATACACCAATCCTAAAGGCAGCTATAAAATGTTTACAGTTTCTATATTGTAAGAAGGATCTGGATTATTTTAATCTTCCCAGGCCAAACGTTGATGGAATTGTGCTGAACTGAAGTATGTCTATACTACAGTTTTGGGGGTCCTGATGTGCTTTCTATCGGTTCTTTATTCGTGTAAAAAAGTGACAAAAGGGTTGGTGCCTTGTAAATATGTAGCAAACCTTTGATGTGGTGTGTCCTATGTGTGCATTAACTTTATTAAAAAGAGAATACTTGAGAAGTATGAATATCTAGACAAAAGGTGCCAAATGCAAAAGTTACTTGCATCTATTTTCTTTTTGTCCTCTCATATTTTTATAGTATTAATTGAGATTGTGCAGCTAAAGGGGTGACTTCAACATTTGAAAGGTTCCTCCTCTTCAAAGCATAACGTGATTTTTAATAGTAGCTCAGCTACCTCTTATTTACAACTACTGGAAACTGAAAAGAAAATAGATGCTGTTATTCAGTGCGTGCTGAAGAGGCGAGAAGGAGCTTGAGGGGTGGAAGTTGTAGAGTAACTGTATCTTCGTTCTGTTGTCACCATGAAAACCAACTGATTCGTTACCAGAGTTCTCAGAAGCAGCATGTTCTGGGCAGGTGGGGATTTGTTTGTGCAGAGGGGCTGAGTGGCTCCCTCCTTCCTGCTGCCCCTTGATCCGTGAAAATGTGGGTGTGGATGAGGGGCTGGGGGAGCTCCGCTCCCTGTGGTGATGCTGGTACAGAACCCTCCAGACTGACTCTCGTATCTCAAGCTTCCAGAAGAGTGTTCCTGTTGCACTGTACTCTTGTTATCCTGGGAAATGCTGACTTGAAACCCTTTGGGCAGTGGTGGTGCAGTTTGTGAGGAGATTGGTGCTGTGGCTCCTGCGGGAGCTGAACCGGGCGCTTGGCGTGGGCTGAGCTGGAGCTGAGCGGCCTCTTCCTTCCTTCCTGGGCTCTGGCTGGAATATATATGGGACTTCAATTTCCTCCCGTTGTCCAAACGGATCTGACAGCTCCGAGAGTGAGTCAGGTCACAGAGAGAACAAACAAAAAGAGGCTACAAAGTTCCGCTGGAGTTTTTCAAAGTTTTTAGTTTTGGTTGGTTTTTTTTTTTTTTGGAAACTTTCATCCAATATCCTTAAGTTCTTCTGTGCACAGCTTGGTCAATAATTCTGGAAAACCTCAGGCAGCAAAGAGTGACCCATGTATATTCTCAGATGCAGAAGGAATTTTAATTTTTGACTTTCTATATTCAGCACTAGCTATTTTATCTCGCTTTCCAAAAAAAAAAAAAAAAAAAAATCAACTCTAGTTAGATGCAAAAATGACTTGGGGAAAAAAAAAAACCAACAGAGGTTTAGTTTTGTGATGGAGGAGAGTATATCCTAAATTGCTCATTAATATGAATTTATGGTACAGTACAAAAATCACACTTTTAATTTTTTAAGGAATGGCTGGAATCAGCCGTAATCCACTGCTGGACTCGATTCTGGTTTTGATGGGGGGGTGGGGGTGGGGAAACAAGTGCAAAGGCTCTCCTAGATCTGTGCTGGGCTTTGAAGTATAAACACCTGTCCTATCATCTCTCTCATATATCTGTATATATATACACGCATTTATATTTATAAGAAATGTATTATTTGTTTGACTGATTGGTCTTTTTACATATGGTAACCAGGAATAGCATGTATGCATCAGTCCATAGTCAAAATCATATCCTTAGATGAGTCCTGTGAGCTAATGTAAACACTAGGGGTTCTGTCCTAAAGCCTGTAAAGCTTGAAATGCAAAACAAATGCTTTTTTTCCCCCTCTCTTTCTGACTGGTTGAAAATCCACTTATTCCTTTATTTATTTTGTGTAAGGCTTGGGGAGAGATAAATCACAGGGATTCCAGAGAAACCATTTTATAAGCTGGTGTATTTTAGCAAGCAATTAGAGTAAGATTAAATATGTTCTTAACTGTATCTTTTCTATGTCCTGTGAAGATACCAGTGAAGCATCACTTTGCTGTGGCGTAAGTATTACTCCATGTGTCCCACGATTCCCAGCTAGAGCAGGATGTGCTGGAACAACAGAATTTAGTGTAAAAATTGAAAAAAAAAATTTTTTTTTTTTTTTTTTTTTTTGGTGCATGAGAACCTTTTATAAGCATGACAGAAATAACTTGGGTTTAGAACTGTTCTTTTTGCTTGGTTTGTGTCTGCATTCTTCCTCCGAGCTAGGCAGTTGATTCCTCGCAGCCTCGTTCCAGGGAATAATTACACTTTTGTAGGACCTTGGATGCTTTCTCTCAAATCCCAAATCCTGTCAGGAGGTCGTAGAAAACTCAGGGTGAGCCCATCAGGTGTAGCAGAAGCAGGGAAGTGATTGAAACCATCTCAGAGTCTCCCTGGCCCAGGCCCTGGGTGCTCAGGCAGCGGCTCCAGAAGGTTCCGAGCTCCAGGCAGGCTGTGGAGTCAGGAATTTGATGCCTTTCCTTGCACTCTTTACAGAGAACTCCAAACTCTGCCTAAGGAATGGGATGTAAGGTCTGATTTTTATGGGATTGCTGGGGGTGTGCAGGCAGACCAGGGCTCCTCTGCTGTTGTAGATGTTTGGACATTGGTGGTTCTGTTCCCTTTGATGTCAGGCTGGCATGATCCCGATCCTGAGCTTCCAGGGCACTTCACCTTGGAAAATGGAGCCTCAGCCCCACACACTCCATTCTCCTTGCAGATAGGGCTGCAGTCTTGTGTCTTTGCTCTTGGCCTCTCCCAGCTCCAATCTGCTGTCCCTGCAGTGCTCCCCTGTTTGCCCAGACCAGGGCACGGATGACAAAACTTATTTTGCAGTAGTGATGTGCTGTTGTCTTGGATATTAGGGAGGATTTCTTCATGGAAGGAGTGGTCAGGCATCAGAATGGGCTGCCCAGGGCTGTGGTGGAGCCACTATCCCTGGAAGTGTTCAGGAAATGAGCAGATGTGGCACTTGGTGATGCAGTTCAGTGGCTGTGGTGGGATTCAGTCGAAGGTTGGACTTGGAAGGTGATCTTGGAAGGCTTTTCCAACCTTAATGATTCCATGATTCAGCCCAAATTTTGCTTGCTCTTTATTTTCTCTATTGATTTTCCTTTGATTTTCCTCTTTGCCATGCCCCACCTCTCTCCTTTAGCTTCCCTTTGTAAGCTATTTATGATTCTCTTTTGGAAATGTATGTGATGAATTTTATTTTGGCTGGACTTCTTGGCTGGAAGGTTTAATCCTTTTATCCCTCTTTTTCCCCAAGACTTTCCATGTTTTTTTATATCTGCCTTTTTGTGTTTACCAGCAACATTCCTAAATGTCTGGAGGCAGATTTAATGAAGATGGAAAGTTTGAGGATTGGCTTCTTGGCTGCACCTCTGTGGCCATCCATACCCAGAGTGGGGACACTGCCAGGTCAGATGGGGCAGCACATCCTTCCCTCAGCCTTGGAAAACACAGTTCCACTTGGGATCCTGGAATATCTGTGGTCCTGGCTTGGGTTTATGTCTCCCATGTAGAATTCTTGTGCTTCCAGCCTCTCCAGGTATTCCTGTTCTAAACAACCTTTGTGTTGGTGCTTGAATTTCCATGGATCCTGGGCAGTTTTATCCCTCCTCCCTCTTTCCATCACTCCTTTCTCCATCGCCAAGCAGAGGCTGTCCCGTTATCCCAACCACCCCCACTGCCCTGCAGACACAAAAGCTAAACAAAATCATGGAGAAATAATTCTTGGAGGATCTTTGGCCACTTAAAATTTTGCATCCTGTTGTGTAGTTTCGTTTTCCTGGAATGTTTTCCTTGATGTCCACCTCAGCTGCTTCTCCTGCATGGAAGTGGAAGGACTGAGTAGTACTGGAAAAGAGCTGACACTGGTTGTGTAGTAGAGAGTTTTTAATTCTTTTAAAAAATTAAAATATTTGGAGGCTCCCTTGACCCCTAGAAACAAGATGAACCTTGCCAGGCATTTGGAAAAGCTTCTCCTACCTTGTCTCAGGAATGTTTTTTACCAACCACTCCAAATCAGAGTATTAATGTGAGAAAATCAGATTAAAAAATCGTTAATTTTGATAAGAACTTGATTATATTTCATCTTTGACTGGAGAACAACAGGGAAAAGTGAACAACTGTAGGTTTTAGGTCCTGACCTGGAGCGTCCTGTCATGGATTTAGTGGGTTAAAAATATCTCTGTGTGTTTGCATTTCTTAATTTTATCTTTTTCTTTCAAACCCACCCTGCAGAGTTTTATAAAACTCTGATTATTTCCTAAAAGAGCAGTTAACCACCCAAAGCTAATCTATATTTAGTAGGTAGGGAGCTGTCATTGTGTTCTTGCAATGTGTATTATAGAAAATTCCTGTGCATGAGTGAGACATAATTCCCAACTCTTTAGTGTATCCAAGGTTTACACAGGGAAAAAGAACTCCTTTCTGTACAGTAAGTAACAACCTGCAAAATTTAGTCTAAAACCTTTTTTTTTTAGTCTTAGAAATGCAAAGACCTGTTGGAAGCTTGTAGATTTTTACTCTGTCCTGTTGGGCCCACGGTGAATTTACACAACTGTACTTACGAATCCCTGAAAAATGAGATTCCCAGTGGAATTGCTGTCCCAGCCTTAACTCTAGTGTTAGAAAAATGGTGCTGAAATACTTTGATGTGAGGGGATGTGGGTCCCTGGGACGAGTTTGTGAGATTTCCAAGTGAAAGCCAGTGTTTGGAGTTACTACTCCTGCTAGTAACTGGAGCCACACTGGAGAACTGGGAAGCGTGGAAATATTTGGGGGATATTTCAACCAGGGGACATTTTGGAGCAGTTCCTCAGTTTTGGGGGTTTAATTGGCAAGTGCTGCAGATCTTCCTGATTTTTAGGTAGGAGAGTTGTTGCTTGGGTGGGGAGTGGGGGTGAAATCCTGCCAGAATATTCCCAATAAAATCCAAATCCGCTGTTTCTCTTCCTAAAATGCCTCCTGGCAGAGCAGTGGCTGCTCGTGTGTGTTCAGAACTCAACGTCTGAGGATCCTTGTTCTGTAGAAATATTAATTCAGGCTCTTCATTCCTCCATGAGTCATTAGAGCAGATTTCATGTAGAAATACTATGGAATTCACGTGATTTAGGCTCTCCAGGTCGTTTTCTGGATTTAAAATACTCCAAAAAAATGCACAAAACTATTAGAATTATGTCTACTTTCTATATTAATTTTTTTTTTCAGGTAATATTTATGCCCATATCTTCACATCTGCTATCTCAGGTCCCTTTAATGAATACTTCAGGGATTTTGATGCCACGTGTTGGCAGACCAAATGTAATATTTATATGCAATGAGCTGTTAGTTTTTTGTATTGTACAAATGTAAATTTGTAAAGATTTTTTTCTAGAGTTTTTTTGAAGTCACTGATGTAATCTAGGATGTTTCATTTTCCAGCTGTGGGATTGTCTTAATAAAAAAAAAATAAAAAGAGAAACTCTTATTTTTGGGTTTGCATTGTTTCCTGAATAGTTGAGACGTTAAAAAGATATAAAGGAATAGGTGAAATCAAGTTTTTTAGTGTAAAAAGAAAATCGCTTTTTCATTCAACTGAATGATTTTATGCTTTTCAAAGTTTTATAAACTGGATATAGAAACTTTCAGGGAATAGATCTAGAAGCTTTTAAAAACTGGGAAGGTGTGGAGCAGGATGGGATGGAGACCCTCACCTTAGCCAAAGGTGAGCGTGGGGGCTCACTGGGAATCTGTTACCCCAATCACCACCTGACCTGGCTCCAAAATACCATTTTTCTGGGAAAAAAGGAGAGGAGCAAGTAACGATTTCTTGGAAGAAGAAGTGAAAAATGCCTTAAAATGCTGTGAAATGGCTAAAAATGCCATGAAATGAGCAGGTGAGGAGGAGGAGGAGGCTCCTGGACCATGTGATCACTGTGGGACCCAGGGTGGGTTCAGGGGGTGAGACTCAGCTTCAGGAGGTTTTACCTGTTTTTTAAGGGCTATTTCTTGCAAAACAATCACTCCTTTTCCATCTCTGTTCTTGCCCTCTTGTTTAACCAGGGATTTTTGGGGGTGGGTGGGGCTGGGTTTGTGTAAAGCTGCCGGTGGGGGCTCCGAGCTCGACCAGGGCAGGTGCTGACACCAAATACACCGAATAAACCTGGGAGGAATTTCTGCCTGGAAAGGATTGTCAGGCACTGGAAGGAGCTCCCCAGGGAGGAGGTGGAGTCCCCATCCCTGGTGGTGCCCAAGGACGTGGCACTCAGTGCTCCGGGCTGGGGGACAAGGTGGGGATCGGGCACAGATAAGACTTGATGATCTCAGAGCTCTTTTCCACCCTCAATGTTTCTGTGATTCTGTGAGTCTGTTTTGGCTTTTCTCCTTAATCCTGTGACTTATTTGACATTTCACTTTGCTGCACTGATTCCAGTGGCATTTCCTCTCCGATGGGAATGAATATCTGCTTTTTAACACAACACTCATCCTTCAAGCCCCAGGAACAAAAGGGCTTTTTTTTTTTTTTTTTTTTTCTTCTTGGCCACGTTGGTTACAGAGAACAAATTTAAACTTGTTTTGCAGAGATACTGGAGCCCCCTCATTATGTACATCCGTCAGATGGCATTGGAGGGAAGGAATTCTGCTCCCTTTAGAGCTGCTTGACCTTTGTCAAATGCCCCTTTGCTGTCCCTCTGTCAATATTGTGTTGATATTATAGTATGGTATTATTATATACATAATATATGTAATCAGCTTTAGGTCATATGTGATTATACATGTTTTAAAATACATGATATAAAATACCAGAGTGGTAGAGAACAATTCAGTTATTCCTCCTGTGCTCTTTAGAAATGCATTTTACAGCAGTATTTGTATTGAAAATTTTTATAGATTTAATTGTGATTTTTATACATCTCAGCAGCACATGGACTAGACCCTGCTCTTCCCTGAATGTGCAGGACAGCTGGTCAACCCAGTGCTCATTTCCAGCCTGGAAAATCCTGAAGGACCTTTTTCCATCCACCATCACAATGCTTCACACACTGCCTGTGCCGTCGGTGGCCCCTGGAACCTTCCTGACCTGTGCAGGAGAGGGAGGCCAAGCTTTGCCTCCATCCCACCTTTCCAGTTCACAACAGGCACTGGAGTGGGATGATTTGAGTTCAGAAGCGTTTGGACAATTGTCTCAGGCACGTGGCGTGACTCTTGGGGTGTCCTGTGCAGGGCTAAGGGTGGGATTCAATCAATGATCCTCGTGGGTCCCTTCCAACCCAGCATACTCCGAGTGATCCTGTGTTATTTGCCCTTCAGCTGTAACCTCCTCCCTGGGAGCGGGTTTTGGGGGCACCTTGTGAGGTCCGAGGTGTGGTTGTGCTCCTTTATCCTTTGGAGCCATGTGAAGGCATTTCAGGAGCCGGGCAGGTGTCCCCCTCACCTACTCCCAGACAGCACCTTTGTGTGTCTTTGTTTCTGAGTGAACAAAAGTGTCTTTGTGTGAGGCCTTCGGGTGAGGTGCTGAGGCAGCAGAGCCTGTCCCGTGACGCAGGTGCCAGCGCTGCTGGCAGTGCTCCCGCTCAGGCCTTCCCACCACTTGGCTTCGTGGACAAACCCGTCCTGCCCGGAGCTGACGCAGGACACCTTCCCTCCTCCATCAATATTTGCTCGGGTGCCGGGAGGGAAAGGCTCGGACGGCTGCTGTTGCCGCAGGAGCTCTGGCTCCTCACGCCTGCCCTGCCAGGCCGATGTTCCGCACGGACGGTGCCGGAGGGCCCTGAGCGCCATGAGGGACCGTCTGGCGGAGCTGCGGCAGCGCGTGGCGGCCGAGGGGGACCCGCACGAGGACACCCTGGGCTTCGACAACCCCGCGCTGGCCGGGGACGACGCCAGCCCCGTGGGGCGGGTGCTGCGGGAGGCGGCCGAGCTGTGGCGGGCGCTGGACCGGCTGGAGCAGCTGTCGGAGAGCATCGACAGGACGCAGCAGACGGTGCTGTGCTGCACCTCGGAGCAGAGCATGGCCCGCGAGAAGCGAGGCCTGGGTGCCGCCCGAGCAGCCTTCGCCCGCCAGGCCGCGGCCCTGCAGCCCCGGCTGGGCGCTCTGCCCGCGGGCCCGGCGGGGGGCTCGGGGCGAGCGGGGCCCCGCGTGCGCCAGACCCAGCTCTGGCTGCTGGTCAGGAGGTTCGGCGCCGTCCTCGCCCGCCACTACGCCCGGGAGAGCCGCTACCGCCAGCGCCTCAGGGAGCAGATCCAGAGGCAGGCGGAGCTGGCGGGCATCGCCCTGGGGGCCCAGGACGTGGAGCAGCTCGCCGAGAGCCCCGGGGGGCCGCGCATCGTGGGGCAGGACCTGGAGGAGCTCAAGGCCAAGCAGCACCTCAGCGTGGCCCAGGTGCGCCAGTGGCAGCTCCTGGAGCTGGAGGCGCAGATGGCGGAGCTGCGGGCGCTGTTCCTGCAGCTGCAGGGGCTGCTGGCCCAGCAGCACGGGGCGGCCGACAGCGTGGAGCAGCACGTGCTGCGCTCCCTCGACTGCACGGCGCAGGCCGAGGTGAAGAGGGCCCAGCGGTACCAGCGCCCGTCCCGGCTCTCGGCCCTGCTCAGCGCGGCCCTCGGGCTCTGCGGCTGCTGCCCCTGCCTGCCCGGCCCCCGGGGCTTCCGCTGAGCCCGGGGTGCACCGGGGGTGCCCCGCTCTGGGCAAGGAAGGGTGGCACAGGAGGCTGCTGCTGTCTTGTGCTGCTTGCACGGCGCTGCAGGGGCCATGCACACCCGGTATGATGGTGCAAGGACCACGGGCACCTTGTTTAAGGGTGTAAGGACAATGCACGCCTTGCACGGGGGCACAGGGACCAGCGCACACCTGGCTTGATGATGCAGGAACCGTGCACAGCTTGTTTGGTGATGCAAGGACCGTACACACCTTGCTTGATGATGCAAGGACCGTGCACACCTCACCTGGCAACACGGGGACCAGGAACACCTTGGACAGTGATGGAAGGACCAGGAACACCTTGGACAATGATGGAAGGACCAGGTATGATCATTCAAGGACCAGGCTCACCTTGTATAATTTGGGTAAGGACAACGCCCACCGTGCTCGATGGCACAACGTGCGTGGTTCTGCAGGGACCCAAAGCTGAGGAAAAGCAGAAAGGGAACGACCTCTTGGTATGTTCATTGAATTAAATTCTTAGGAATTGAGAAAACTTAATTTTCAGGCTGATGAGTGCATTTCTTTTTCGTGTATGGATATTTTCGGGAAGCCCCCCGGAATCAGGAATGTGCATCCCTGCAAGAGCTGTGATTCCTGGGGATCCAGGCTGAGCAGTCTCTGCTCCTGCCCTCTTCCTCATTCTTTGTTTTACGTTTGTGAGGTCTAAATGAATATCATTTTTTCATTCAAAACTTAATGAATAGAAGTTACCTCTTTATTTAATTTTCATTTTAAAAAAACCCCCAACTTTCCAGACCACTGGAAACACCCTCTGCATCTTGCATGGAAACCCACATTTAATGTGTGGCTGCAAAAGCCTCCTGGGAAGCACTGAAGCTTTTTACAGACTCCCAGGACATGGAGAGAAAGGAAATAACCCTCAGTGAGGTCGGGAGGTGACAAATCCAAGAGCAGTAAAACATATTTAACCACCTTTCATGCATCACCCTCACAACAACTCCCTGCACAAACAGCTCCCTGGAGCCTTGGGTGGCTGGGCAGCGACTGACCCAACTGGCTGAGCTGCTCCAGAGGGGATTATCCATCAAGTGCAGGGAAAAAAATCCCTGTATTACCCTCAGTGCTTCCAGCCAGGATGTATTTGCAGGGGATTTCATGGAGCACAGCTCCTCCAGAGCCCGGCATGGAGCAGCTGCACCAGCCAGTGGTGTCTTCCTGCATATGGAATGAACAGGAAAATAACCCTAATTTGTGTCACAAAGACCTCTAAGGAGTTAAAGAAGGAAGAGAAGATTAGAAACTTTACACTTCAGAGCAGATCTTCCCAACAGTGGCTTTTTTTTTTTTTTTTTTTCTGCTGCTTGGTGTCCTTCCGCTACATATTGGCCTCAGACAGAACCTAATTACTGCCTGGCAAAATAATTAATAATATTGTAATGTGGGCACGAACGCTCAACAGGATGGAGAAGGTTCCTTTCTCTTCCCAGTGAAGGCTGGGACTTCACCTGGAACACGTTTGCTTCATGAATATTCCTGCAGATGATGAAGGTGGAGGACCTTCTAAGACTATTCTAATGGCTGTTTTAATTATGTCCCAAAGGAGCATCACAAATGTAAGAAGTTCACATTTAAGGGGAAAAGTAAGAGAGAGGCAAAGTTAAAAATCCAGCTGCACAAACCCCTCAGCTCTGCTCTGTGCTGACACGAGAGGCACTGAAAGAGGAATTTTTAGTAAAATGCATTAAAAGGAGCTGGATTAAAAGCCCAAGGCCTTTGTAACTGTGCTGGCAGCACACGCTGCTTTGCACTTGCAAAGTCTT